TATTCACCGATAGAATCCTCTAACGGGTCGCGATGAAAAGATTTATGCGAGCTCAGCAAGTCACTCCATTCAGTATCAAAAAGAAAACTCTAATCAGTTGAAGTTGCAAGATATTTAGCCAATTCAATGTCTTTATTTTCCTGGAGTGGTGCTGAACACATTCAATGAAATTCACTTGAAAACCCCCAAAGAAATCAAAGAATTATTTAAAACAACTCTGCTCTGTGGGATTTTTTCAAAATTAGCCGGTTAATCGAGTGACTCTTGATTTTCAACATTTTCTAATCTTATACTTCTCCACAAAAATATTCCACTAACTGCCAAAAGCATTCCTACTTGGGAAGCATTACCAGTCAAAAACACCGTCATTTCATTGAATATCCAACTGTTTATTTTGCGACTATTTTTTTCCTCAATTCCATGGCTGTTTTTCATCGGTTCACCTTATTGTTTCCTCTTTTCTGCTGGTTCACCTATTGAAAAACCTCTTCTGACTCACAATTTGCTATTCCTATCGCAACACAAACACACACACACATTTCTCTCTTGATACCTGTGCAATTTAGCATTTTTATTCTTTCCTTTCAAAGACTCAGCATTTTCCATCTACACTTTAACATCGTGTTGTGTACATGAAGATCATTTACCTATGCTACACATAAACTTTATGTATGTACCTTTTGAAAATACTTTCCCAGACAACGATTGTCTAAAATCTAATATAAATTTCTTGCACATACAAATGGGAAAGTTCATCGTTGAATTGCAATGTGCTTGGGTGGAAGAGTTCCATTCATTTGGCGAGAAGGTGGAATAAAAAAAGATCGCGTATATAATTTAATATTTAAATTAATATGTACATTAATCTCATAATCCATTTTACGGTGCATTATTTGAATATAACACCTCGAGAGAGCTTTCTAAATGTACCACGCATCCATTATCTTCGTCTCAAGGTAAAATTTATGTGATCTTCAACCGACAAGCTCAGTTTGATCGAAATATTAGTGATCACTATCGACTGTGCAGAGATCTTCAATTAGAGAGTTCAGTCGATCTCTTCGCGGTGACTAATAAGCTACCATGAAAGAGCCACATTCACAACTTTGGGTCGAGATTGTGTGGTAAAAGAGCCACTAAAGTGATCACGATCGTTCTCCCACCATTTTGCAAATAAGTGTATTTTTCTTCCACTGCCAAGAGATCGCGAATACTCAAAAATGGGTTAAATTTATTCAATTGCTCGCAGTCTTCATCCGAAAAAAGCCACACCAGAGAAAACAAATAGCCGAGAGGGCAAAAAAGAATTGTATCAACCTTGAATTAAAATTAATTTGTGGGTTTTGTTGATCAACCAAATAGCTCAATTGGCCACAATTGTCTTACAAGTCTATGGCCGATGGAGAAAAGAACATCACACAAAATCTCTCACTCTCTATCTCCTGCCAAGACAGACTTGTATGTTTAGCAGCTCAGTGCTGGAATTTGAATCTCTTTATAGCCATTTCTCTAGATTTCTTAATTCTGTCTTTGGGTGGATTAAAATTCAGCAGTTGAAAAAAAAACGTGATGGAAGAAGAAAACAAGCGAAAGAGCTTAAGCGAGAGAGAATAGAAATATTTAATGCTTTTGGAAACATTAAAAACAAACAGACAAGAAATCGCCTGATGTCTTCAAAATGTGCCTTTGCCTCGCTTGTGATCGTGCGATTGTGACTTTTGCGCGTCAGTCAAGACCCCTTCGTAGTGTTTCTCAACCGTATAGACAAGACTGTGATTATATGCCCATTTTTCCCAAACGACGTATGTATGTCTTCAATCATGCCCACTATTTATAATTATATTATCTTATCAGTCTCCAATTATAAGTTAAACCCCCTCCATTGAACTCTCTCCACTCGTACTTGAGTATTTACACGAGCATCACTCGAGGGTCAATACATCAAATAAGACTACACAAATTAACCAATAAATCTGTTTGATCTTTTTCTGAACGCTGAAGCGAGTTTTTCAATGATGACTTTGATTAACGACAATGTAAATAAAATGTCCTAGTTAGAGAATTTTAAGGGTGTGGCTTCGTTTAATGTATTTAGCCTCTATGGATGTTTCACAAACTCATATTTTGCTAACCTTCATTAATCCAATCTGTCCAGCCTTAGCGCGTGAAAATGTTGCGATTTCCAAAAACCGATTATATTTCTTAAATTGCAGTAATTTTAAAAAATCATTTTCAAACACACCGAAAACTTTTACTAAACATAAATTAGTCTTCCCTTAAGTTACTTTGTTACAGTCTTAGAAACTCCGCTTCGTGTCGTAAAACTGTCCAAAATGGACGTGAAAGTTTGAAAACCACTGCTATTACTTCAAAACAGATACAGAAAATTTATCGTACACGCTTCGCAGTGAATATGAGGTTGAAATGTTGCTCGGAACTCTCTCACACCTTTTCTCGTCGTCACTTTTGCATTTTTATTGTAATTCTGGATGAGGTGATCGTCAAAGTTGAGACAGTGAAAGAGAGAGACACACGCCAGCATTTCAAGTCATATGGTGTGTTTTCTATTGGCTCTATATTTCTCCACTCGATATTTTGCCTTTTTATCCCTCATCCAATTTGCTTCCATTTTAAATCATTTTATATGTGAACTCCACTGTCTCTCTAGTCTCGCGTATAATATGCCACACATTCTGAAGAAATTATACTGTGCTTTCTGTCTGTCTCATTTTACACAGTGTGGGAATTGGAGAAGAGAGTTTAAATGTCATACATCCAACTGCGTTATCATCCCACTATATAGTCTCTATATGGAGCTGCGCTTTTTTTTCGTATAGTGCACAATTGAGGAAATAAAGGGGCACATAAGGCGAAAACAGGCACATTATTTATAATAAAACCATCTCATACAATTCCCACAATAACAATCCTAAATATAAAATAAATAGCAAAATGTGTAATCATGGCATTATATCACCATTTGTTTAGACTCCCCTCCTTTATTGTTATATTTTTCACTGCTTAATACAGATAACTTTGCACTTCTATCGCGGCCACAGTTATTTGTTTGAATTTGATAAACCTATCGTGTCCTCTCCCTCTGCAGTTCAAGCCCACCGCGCGCTGTCTATCATTCGCTCTCCAAGGCAGACAAAGTGCTGTTAACCTTTTCCTATGCCACTATCGCACCACGCCAACAAATTATCAATCAATTTCCATCTATTTCTCTGGCGTCAAATAGAAAAGTCCAGCCATTCAATTGATTTTCCCGCACTGTCTCCTCCCCAACTTCCAACGCCAAAGTTGCCTTCTATATGCTTCTCTGTCGCAGATTCGAGCTTAGCGAGCTATTTTCGCATTAAATTCATGGGAATTTCGTAACAAAGCTCATACATAATCTCCATGTCTATGGAGCTATGAGGTGACACAACCGACAAGATCTTATTCCCGCTAGAGGCACACACTCAAGTCTTTTTCCTCCTTTCAACATCGCACTCTAAATAAGGAGTTGATCTTTTGGCCAGTGAATCGCAAACAGCATTTTTTTAGTCAACATCAGCGGCTTCAAAAGAAACTTGCTGAATTTCTCACTGACAAATTGATTGGGGATTTCTTTGAGCGAATTGCAATTTATAAATGCAACAAGAATGCTTTTTATACATATATCTTCCACTTTAACCCGTTTATAAAAGAGCAATTCTTTTGAGTGCGAAAATCATTTTGCTGTGCAATCATCATGTCAAGCAATTTATCATTCACTCTTCATTGCAGAGGTCATCAGTATATAATTGAGGTTTTTAATGCGAGAAGACAACGTGGTTGTTAGTTAAATAATTTCATCCGAAATTGCTAATTTATTATTGATTTATTTATTTCCTGTGACAGCATCGCCAAATTTATGACTCTGAGTGAAATTGGATAAAATTACAATCAAATTAAAAATCATTATTTTCCAATTATAAACAGATTTGAATGAGACAAATTAATACGCATTGAATCAAAATTATACAGCTATGCGAAGAGATGCGCTTCGAAATAGACAAATTAAACATGTACATGTGCTGGCGGGAATTCAAACATATTTACCTCAAAATCGAATTGAATCAACCCTCAAAAATCATTGTGTTTGCAATTTATCATTCAGGGTAATCAAATAAATTCTGTTTCATTTAGCAAATAGAACCAAGAAGTGCTTCAAACTCACTCCAGTCCATTTTCATATGTATTATATAATAGTACCACATTACAGTCCGGTAAACAAATCCACTTAATTATTTATAGAATTCGTATAATGCCATATTTAGGCAGCGGAAAAAAACCAACTTCGTGAAGATCAATAGTGATAGTGACAACACCTTTCCTACTGATAATTTTTCTGGGAGAGGAGGTCATAGCGTTGATACAAGCAGTAATTGACAGCATTAAATGCGCCCCAATTCTCTCGTCTTGCAAGCCAAACAGTCGAACACAGTTTTTGAGGGAAATAAAAACACAGAGGCAAAAAGTTCCTAATGAGCCCACAGAGCGTGACGAAATATTTCCATATGTCCTGTGCAATGGCAAGGAAAGAAATTTCCATACAGCACAAGTGACCAAAGGAGGAATATCATCACATTTGAAGGAGCGAACAGAAGGGAAAGAGAAAAATAAACGAAGAGTGGCTGATTGTATGAAAACACGAAGTGCTTCTTGCGTCAGCGGAAAAAAGATGTGAAGCAGAGAATATGGCCCGAAAAGGTGCTCTTGAAACCGTCAATGGCAAGTCATATCAAACTGAGGAAGATCCAACAAACACAGGGTCGAAAGAATGTCGTTGCCGTGGATAATTTTCATCACGACAACGCATCGGTGAAAAGTACACGACGAAAATAGACAGATTATTACTCTCTCTCTTTCTCAAGTCAAAATTTAAATGGAATGGGGAACAAAATACAAAGAGTAGAAGAGTCGTCATTTTCAATAAATAATTGCGAGAAGATATGTGATAAAATTAGACTTACCGGCGTCAATAGTTGTGGCGTCGCGGCCGGTGACGAGATGTTGGTGGTAAACTTAATGCCAGACCCAAGATCGAAATCACAAATTTTGATGGGGCACAGCTTGTCCGTATGCACACAGAGAATATTCTCAGGCTTCAGATCGCGATGGGCGATTCCTTTCTTATGCAAGAAATCCAATCCTGACGCAATCTCCCGAATTATCTGCGCCGCCTCGTGTTCCGAGAAGCACACATACTCCTGAATGCGCGTCAGCAGGGGTCCTCCGTTAATCTGGAAATTGGCAAAAACTGTAGCATTTGCAGATAGTGACAATTTAGCAAAATAACTCACCTTCTCAAAGACCAGATAGAATTTCTCGTCGTCCTCGAAGAATTCAATCAACTGAAGGATACCCGGATGTCCTTGACAGTGATGAAAAGTCTCCACCTCGCGAAATACACGAGCACGAGCATGTCCGGGAATCTTATCAATTATCTTCACAGCGTATTCCAGGTCCGTGTAGATATTGACACACGTCTGCACAGATGCATAAGCACCCTCGCCCAATATTTCTCCAGTCAGCTTGTACAATTCTGTAGCGAGAGAGATAGAAAGCGCCATTATGGGGATATCCTCTTCAACTGTACATACACTTTAATGTCAACGGTGGGGGGATAACCTTCGGTGAACTCTGTGACCTGCTCACTTTCTTCGCAAGAAATATCTCGAAACTACGTGAAGGTTTATATCTATCTCATCTATATTTGAATTTAACAGCTCATAAGCTTCATATCAAAATTAAACGTGACTGACCGATAAATTTCTCCCCGCTTTGAGCAAGATCGCAAGTCACAGTTCATTTCACTTATCACAAACAGTGCAGAACTGAAGCAACCATCTCCAAATTGTCGTCTCAACAAATACATGCAATGTGATATCAATAAATCAATAGGAAACTTAAAATAGATTTAGGAATCGGTACTCCAAATTTTTAGAATCGCACGAAATCAGCAGCCGGTTCTGAGAAATTGAGTTATCGCGACCTCAAAATAAAGACTTCGTATCAAAATACCTCTTGAAATACAACATGAAATGACTCAGTAGAAAAGTTTAATTGATTTGCGATTAGTCGAAACAATCCAGAACTATAATGAAAGTGTTTGAAACTCACCCTGGAAAGTGGATGATTGAAGAGAAGAGTTGGTTCTATTCTTCCTGCGGCGCTTCCTCTTCATCTCCTCCTTGTGCCGATTGAAGTCAGCCTGTCTCTCCGTCTCCGTGAGAACACGCGTCTCCGTGGACTCATTTCCAGAAATTTCCTCACTGCTGTAACGCGTCACCTCAGCATGAGAAACTGCAAAGAAAAGAGCCACAAGGAAGCGTAAGTGGAAATGACTGTGAAAATGTGGTTATTTTGCAGAGAAATCTCACAAGTTTTTCGTTATCTTTCACCGCGCATTTCGAATTAACTAGACTCTTTTAAACAGAAGAAAAACTCGTGATGCAAAAATTCAATTGCAACTCTACATAGATGGAAAATGAATTTACATCATCCAACTCTTTCAAGTCAAGAGAGATAGGTACACTCACTGAAATCCCCGACCCCATTGTCCCTCTCTTTTTCATATAAAATGCATTTATATCAAACACACACTCAAATAACCAGTTTTGTAAATTTTTCCCTTCTTTCACTAATTCTCTCTCTCGCTGTTGAATTTTCAGTTACGCTCAGAGTCGGATTGAGGGGAAAATTCAGAGGGTTACACTTGAAGGGAAAGTGAAAACCGAAACCTGAATATTCATCTTATTATTATTATTTCTTGTGCACCTCTAGGGATGGATAAAGTGCCAATACTTTATATGTACTTCTCCTCAAACGACCTGTCCAATTATCAACTTACATATTTCAATTAATTATATTTAATGCACCTTGAAAATTAAATAGGAAATGATGAGTCAACTAAAATAATATCGTTTCTCGCGATAATCTGAACCATATTAAGACATTTGTAGTCACATTCGTTCGTGATCGAGACCACTTAATTGCGCTATTTCACGAAATTATATGGAAAATTAATTAAAATCACAAATTTCCAGTTGTTATAACAATTTTACACTTACTTTGGATTCATTACATAACAAGCGCCATATTTTTGGGTATATTTTGAAGATAAAATAAAATTAACACCTAATAATGTATTAACACCTGACTTCTCGGGAGATCCCAAAAATAACATTAACACTTATCATTATGTTCTTAATTATATCCTGAAAATTCACATGAATTATTCTCCTATTTTTGCGTAATTTCTTTTAACTATCCATCAGAATGTTTTCAGTACTAGAGTGTTAAGAAAGCAGACAATTAAATTTAATAGCCTTAGAATTTAAAAATTAAAATGCTAACGATATATCGTTAAGATGTTCTCTGTGAAATGCGAACATTGTTAACTGGAGAACGACGCAAAGGAACTTAAATAAAAAGTTTCCCGATATCATCACACTAAGCAAATCAGCCGTATCACATCTAATTTCTAGAATTCTAGTTGGTCGCTGTAATGCCTCATGAATAGATAATGCTGCGATATTTCTTTTACATTTCCTGTTCCACCAACTTGATTTCCCCGTAAACTCTCTGCACTTTTCGAGAATGTTCCAGAGAGAGAGAGCGAGTGACTTAGAAAATTGGAACAGCTGAGCGTGATTTTGATGCACACCTTCATCAGGTTCTACCTCTTCTTCTATTCAATCTAAATATCGATTTTATGGCGCACACAAAGTCTCTTTGATTGAGATACAATTTTCCCTGCGAAGATATTACGGAAATTGACTGTTAATTCCCCGTGAAAATTCCCACACGGCGTGTGGGTAAAAAGAGATCTCCACGTCAAATGTCAAGAGAATGGGAAATAAATTGTACGTTCAATTAAAATTTGATATAAATGCAGCGAGAAGTGGATTTGAAGCGCTCTGCGCTCGAGTCATCGACCGCAGAATAGAAAATTATGCAATTTGGCCTTGCAAAATACACCAAAAAGCCATTCATCGATGTTGTCTCGCTTTTAGCCAGAGCGAATTTTCTCTCTTTTTTCCATTCAGTGCATTGGCACAAATTTTCCTCTATAAATTTTCTCTCTTTCTCTCTCTCTCATCGTTTTACCGTTTCATGAAAAATTTCACGTATCATGCCATCATAAATGGATGAATTTCTCGATTGGACAGATGAGGGAAATTCGAAAGGTGGCAGATTTCGAATAATGGAGTGGAAAAGTTCCTAGTAACGGTTCTCGGAAGGACAGAAATAGGGAACCAGCTGTTCGATAACTTTAGTCTTTCCCCTTTTCCTCCTCCTTTTGTGCACTCACTCACGGGGGGCTTTCTGGTGGTGTACAAATGGAACCCGTGAGGCGACAGTTGTAGTGGTGCCCTCGAAAATGAGAGAAGTCAATTGATAGGCAGCCCGTCGCCTATTGGGATTTCACCCCCAGAGCCACCCCTTGACATGGCGTCCCTTTTTCGGCAGGGCCAAAAATTCAGTTACACTCGCGGTGATGCTTGTCAGCCCTGCCAATCAAGCCCACTACCTTTGTCTCTCTTCTGCGCCCGCAATTCCAATTGAGCTCTCTCGCACGCACACACACTCCCCACTGCGGGAGAAACTTGAAATTGCCTCACACTCACACCACCTCGCAGCCGAATTGCGTAGCAAAAGGAAAACCCGATGGAAAAGGTCTCTATTCTGCCTGAAAGTTACGATTGCACCTCGGCTATCCCTCTCCCTCGGCCCAGGACGGAGCAAGAAGGAGAGTGGAAAAAACCGGATGATGCACAAGCACTCTGCAACTGGCAATCGAAGGGATATTCGGGGAAAAGTCCCCAAAAATCAACTCAGTTTCACAGCCCACCCAATTTCACAGCAGTGTGAGTCGAAGCTGCCATTTGCATTGGAAGCCGCAACTGTACGCGATGTGACGAGATGAAAAGTCTACTCACCATTCGATATAGGTATCACGCCAACGTCAGATTCCTCCAGAATTCGCTCCACCATTGTTGCAATGTTTGCACAGAACTGGGGGAAGGGTCTTTATGATTCAAAAAGAAATGCACACACAAGTTCTTCCGCGGATAAAGGGAAAATATAGTTCTGCTTCCGAAAGTGGTCAAAAACAACAGAGAAAAGAAGGTATCAAAGATTGTACTGTATCACGGATGTGGCTATCCTTGAACTGCTGCTCTTCAATGATCAACTTGATATTCTCTGAAGGAGTCACTAGGAGATTGTGAGTTATAGCGTTTTCCTTCCTCAAAAAGGTGTCTTTCTGATGCGAGTGGACTGTTCTTTGTCAAAGAGATGTTCTGTGTGTTCCTCTCGTCTCCAGAAAGCGAAGAAATATCCGATGTTATATTTCAAGCACTCTCAAAAGGAGCTCTTTTCCTCGTTGAATTCCTTTGCCGCTTCTACTTTTTTTTTTACAAGAATTTCCTCATCGGTCTGCTGCTGCTGCTGATGCTTCCAATTTTCCACCGATGACGGAAAATCTTCTTTCAAAGTCTCGGGTTTTTGGAGTCAATCCTCAATTCAAAGAAGATGGTTTCTTGCATGAAAATCAAACCGAAATGATTTCACAATCAGATGAATTCTGCTGGCTTGGTTGGAAAACAATGTAGATGGTTTTTTGGTTGGTAGAGGAAGAAAAAAGATTATCGATTTCTTTTCTCTCCTCCTCTTTCTGCACCGATTTCGTGGGTTTTGACGTGTTTTTTTTCCTTTATGTGACTTTGCACATACAATATCTGCTCACTGGTTCAGCCCTCCTCAAAGTGCTCTAAGGTGGCTTGCTCTCTCCTCCTCAATCAAAAACACTCACAAAAACTCGCGCAAGATTTTCGAAAATGATGTTAAATAAACGCTAAAATAGCGGACAAAGGCCGATGTTTCATTCAATTTAGCTACCGCTCCATTTTACACACAATCCCTTTGATGTTTGAATTCCGACTGAAGCGCAATTGACGTCGCACCTCGCCCGATACCTCTCTAGCGGCTCCCGATCTCGCACACTCGCTCACTTTCCGTGCACGTACACGCGTCGCCATGCTGTTTTCGACTCACAGCGCCGAGTCGCACCATTCCCCATGCGAGTGTGTGCGTGCTGTGTACGTGCGCAATGTCGGATTGTTGCGTTTCTTTATTTGCCAAGAAATATTCACCACACAAGTGAGAGCCAGCGGACTTTCCACCGGCGAAGAACACTTTGCTCGGGAAATTCGAGCTCTGACAAAGCAAATTTGGAATTATTAAATTTTTCACGCCTGATTTTGCATATTTTTTAAACATTTATTATTTCTTAAATTTTTCCATTACTTGATGGCGATTGATCCAAAGGCATATTTTGTGTAGATTCAATAAGAGTAAATTGTATAGTCCGCCCCGCCGCGGCTCGTCTTACATTGGCCGCGATTCTCACTCATCTTTTCACCACACTTTAGCAGCTGCGCAAGTGGTGAAATTCTATTTAAAATTTTTAGATCTCCGCACCATGATTTATGACTCGAAAGGGCAGATAAATAAATTTTCGCATATTCCCACCTCTCTCTTGAGACAACATAAACTCCTATCCTTCCGGCACTTCCACCCACAACTCCAAGAGCGCCCGCGAGTGCAGAGAGATTTAATATTTCCATGTGATAAGAGACTCTCTCACACCAAGTCATTTGAGATTTTGAATTACGTCAGCAATCGTACGAGAAGGTGCTCTCAATGTGTTAGCTAGAGTTTTATTTTCTAGCCAGACTATTTGGTGTTTAGCTGGTGATTTTTTGCTTTCCGCGCTCTCGCAAATTCTCAGAGAAATTGCGCATTTTCCCCAATCTGACTGGCTTGAAACTTTGAGAAAACCACGTGCCGAGCACTACAGAGTAAAATCAGCAGATTATATTGCTGAGAAAACATGAAAATTTTTGCAAAACCATCACAGGTTTTCATCGCACACTCATCATACTTTCCATGTTATTGACGATATAGAGGCAAGAGCCACAAGAAGAAAAGATCAACAAGACGTACAATTTATTTATTTTCATGAACTCATACGAGCCAGTGTCCAGCGCACGCAATCGTTTGGTTAAAGGCATTGTTGGATGCGTTGCCTGCGTTGCCTCTGTCACGTCCACAACCTATTCACAGTTGCACTTCAGTTCAGCTCATATAAACAATCCCAGGGAATTCTCCCGCAATTTCTCTTGCTTTGACGTCACTTTCTGAGCAATTTACTATGGCTTTTTGCAAGAGCAAATCACGATTCTTTTTGCACATGATTTTCCGCGGCATCTCTTATTTTGACTAAAATTTGTGCATATAGGAATTCTCTGAATTTCATAACTTTACGTGAGTTTAATGATTGTGATGAAATATCAATTGCAGATTAAATGAGATTCTCTTGTGATAAGATTCTCGTTTCATCGAAACGGATGATTATCACATCACATATGTTTGTTTACAGAAATTGTAGGTCATTGGGAAATGATTTGAAATTCTTTCAGAACTAAGGGAAAAACACCGAGGAAAATACATGAGATAAATAGTGAGTATAGCCAAGCTCAAATATTTTTAATTTTAAGTTGAAGTCGTAGGCAATATTCGTGACACATTGAGATATTGCCGCATTCTTTCTAAGGAGATTCAATCTGAATTTGGACTACTAAAAATTTATTTTTAATGAGAGTAGACGCGGTTCTGGCTTTCTTGACGACACTTAAGCCCCTTGAGCGCTGATAAGTTGGTCTTCCGAGGCGCCACACTTTCTATATTACATTCAATTGATGTTGGAGTTCCACTTTTTTCTCGCAGATTGAAAGTGTAACCTCTGTGAGAGTGAGACTCCAAAAAGACGCATTTTGAAGAAGGTGTGGAGGAGATTCTCATTGTTCTTCCGTCTTGTATTCTGCTCTGTTTCTCACGCAATTATTTCCTCATCGAACACATTAAGTGAAAATAGAACAGCTTCTCTCATCTTCAAAATAGCTCACACTTCGTGGAATTTCCCTAAACACTCATGACATCTCCTATTCAGTCATTTCTGGTGCACGATAAGTTCGCTTGTTCGCGCCAATATCACCTTTTCCTAAGAAAAAATTCACTGGCATCGACACATGAATTTGTCATGAGACTTCTTAAAGACTATTCTGCGACTATATTTACTTAAGATTGTAATTCAAATGTGACTCTCTTGATTATAATTTTACGTGACATTGGGGACAAGTCGAAAATGTATGCGGGGGAATAATGGATTCTCCTTATGTTTATCACGCATAAATTGATGGTATTTCTGTTTCATATACTTTCTTTGTGCGATGCTCATTTTCTTCCTCATTCTCCCGCAATCACATGAAACTTCGTCTCAACATCGCAAGAGCTGCTCTGGGATGTCAGGAAGAGGAAATAAAAGATGGGAGGCTTTTATGGAGAGATATTGGAAAGTGAAAGGCAGCATTTTAGAGAAGAATATAGTGTCGTGTTCGGAATGTTCTGGAGCTTATTTCACACATACACAATAATATACACGTCACGGCCAGTTTTGATACAATTGGCCGGCCGATATGAGCTCAACGGCTCACAAGCCTCATGGTTGTGACTCACACTGCTACACTCGCCATGTGATTGTGCGAATGTATGGGCGATTCTTACACCGTAAAGTGCATGATGCAACTTTCCTCATTTCATCAAATCGGTCATCGCTTTTGACCGCTTTTTGTTCTTCGCCTCTTCGTCCATTTTAGAGGACAGCAGCTTTTTTTTATGGAGAACCTCTCGTTAATTCTTTGGCCCACAAAAGTCGCTCGAAAAAAGTGATCACTGTCACGTAGGCATGAAATTGATGCGAGAAATGCACGATCACGGACCGATCAGCCAGAGTTAGTGGCGAGATAAAAAAGATGTTTAGTGCTTGAACGCACTTGAACCTCATTACATTGCAGTTGTACAATTAATTTTTCAAACTAAAAATAACACTTGTAACATCTCGCGGCCGAAGATCTTTACACACAATTTCAAATCATCTCGCGAGCTCGCACACCTCGGGGGCGATCGCAGTGAAATGCAAATGGAATGAAATCCAATGAAAATGTCTAAACAGAAGTGTGAACAAGATCAGCAATGGAAGCATAATAAAACAGTTAAAGTGTCATTTTCATTATTTTTCAATCACTCGCGTCTTCTGACCATGAAATAGTTTTTCACTTCTACTGAGGATGAATTCTGAATGCATAAAAAGTCAATGTAAAATTGTAAAAGTTTCAGCTTTTTCACCACACACACACAGTCTTACTGTGTGGTATTATCTCAACACCACGTGAAAAAAGTCGTACGATTCAGTATAATTATTAAACTTCTTTTAGCTTTGTGATTCATTTGATTTTTAGCCAATTTCAACTCTGTAAATTTTATATCTGTTGCATCATGTGAGACTTTTTGATGAACTCTGCGTGGCTGTCGATTGTTACAATCTTTTGTTGATTTTCAGCTCGCTTTTCTCCGCGTAATTCGCGAAAAAGTGGTTTAGGACTATTGGGACTATCATTTCAGACAAAACGAGAGCAAAGTTAAGCGATTAAAAATAAATATTCGCTCTCATTTTTACACTCCTGTAATGCATAATAGAATCAAGCAGACTTTTGGTGTGAATTTTAAAAAGTCAAGTGACTTATTTATCTAATGTTTATTTACGTCAAGAAATAAAATTAAATCTAATCATATTTAAATATTTCAGTATAATTTTCATTGTGGCTTTAATACATTTTATATTCACTTATCATCATACTTAAAATTAAATTTGTCTAATCATTTCCTCTATTTAATATTTACAAAATAATCAATTACATTGAAATTTATGCTAACGACTTCATGCGTTGTTCGCCCACAAATCACTTGAATATACTTTGCCAAAATAAAAATCTGCTTATTTGCATGAGCTGCCCAAAATAGGACTTAACACAAGACAAGCAAAATACAAATTTTACCGTCGTTTCTTTTCCAAATAGAAAATGTTTGAAGAGTATTTCTTTCCTTCCTGATAAAATTGTTTTACTTCTCCGCATATTGCGTACAATTTACAGGAAAATCTGGGCCTCTCAAGAGTAATACAAATATGCACTAGAATTTCGAAGCTGATAAGATTATATTTTGGATAGGTACATATATCGTTCTCAATCTCTCCGTGTGCTTAGAACATCGCATAAACTTGACATTGGCTAATGGAAAGTATTCTGAGCAAATAGAAAATATTTACACGCGTGATGCAGTAGTGAAAATTAGAAACTGCCAATTGTGAACTTCCTATTAACTGAGAATCTAACAGCTTGAGCCAATATTTTGCATCACACAATCGAATGATTCTCGAGTAAACACCATCGAGATAATTTTTAGCGCAATACGTAAATGAAAGCATTTTCGGGAATACATATTTGCCAAGGTAATTCTGCACATCTGATGTTATGACGTTTGCCAGAAGGAGAACACACCGCGTTGGTCCTACACTCGTTTATTGCACTGTTTATCGTGTTTTATGTAATGTGTAGAGAGCTCTCTCGAGAAGAAAAACGTGCACACGGGCTTCAGGACGCAATTAACCTACATTCCTGAATTTTGTTAAATTTCCGCGATTTAGCAGCGCGTCTCATAAACAATTCTTAAAACATATTGGTGGGATATTTAGAGCCAAAACACAGTTTTTTCACACTCCCTCTCGCTGGCGTGCTGGCGATGTGCACAGAGGCCGTTCACGTGTTACTCTAGATGTGGAGACACATCGGGCAGTTTGGAAGCGTGCATCGAGGCGCCAGATTCGGCAGGTGGACGGGAATGCCCGAGATTGGGAACAGCCACTTTGGGTACGCAATCAGGGGTGTGTAGTGTGGCTGCGGCGGAAGCGTCGGCGGCGGCGTCTGCTGGTGCTGCAAAGAAGACTGAATCTGGACTGGCCGGGCAGGCGAAGTCTGCAAATTTACCTATATGGTCGCAATAATATTTGAGAAGTCATGCAGAGGAGAAGTGGATAAATACACACCTGACTCGCAGTTGTTGGTGGTTTAAATGCACTCGGAGTCGCTGATCCGCACTGTTCAATTGCTTTCAACAGATCCAGGTCACACCTCTTAAGGACCAGTTCCAAAACGGATCTCTTGCGATGCGGAAATAGCTGAGCCAGCATGTCAATGGCAGTTTGAGAAACTGATCCATTTTGACTTGGAATAGGAGAAGCTGCTGAGATTGTAATAAAAATTATATGAAGCTCTCAAATATCCTTTTTTCATATTCCTCAACTCACCGTTAGATTTCGAAGGAGATTCCTCAATTTTCGCTGTTGTCACTGCTTCTTTTGGCGGTGGAGTCATTCTTGGCTCTGTAACATTCATCCCAAATATCTTTCCCGGTGGCAAACTGTCGAGAGATGTGCCAGATTCATTGGATGCCAAGCGGAGTGCAATGGCATCTTCAACTGCTTGCTGACGCTTCAGGGCAACCTGAAAAATCACCGAGGAAATGCCACACCATTAATATTCTCAGTACAATTTTCACTCACCACTGGAAGGATGCAAAGACAAACAGGAGAAATGGCCTCGAGGATGTGTTTATTTTACCAATTTGGAACTCTGCGAGGACACTGCGGGATTTATTTGGAAATGAGGGACGACCAAAGGGTGAGGAAGAGCCAAGATTGCGGTGAATCTTGTTTGAACATCATGAAGCATAATGGAAAAATATCATGAAGAGTGATTTGGGGGTATCAAATGAAATTGAGCAGAGGGATGAGCGCGATGAATTGATAAATTCGATTAGGATCTTATTTCATGAGTCAACAAGCATTCCGGATTCTTTGATTTCTTTGGTAAACAGAGGAATCAAAATCGCAAAATACTGAAGAGGATTTTGGTGGAGGATAGATTTTTGCAGGAAAATTCGTCACCTGAGCAGCCATAATCCTCTGTCTCTCGTGGATGAGTTCACACTTGGCACAGCGACAATTTCGATAGCTACATTGCTTCTTGTGACCTCGCAGCCCTGAAATGACTCCGTGGTTCCGGCAACGGGCACACTTTGGCACTCGCGGATTGAGAATCTTTGAGCTTTTCCCACTTGACATCACTTCAACAGCTGAACGCCGTGGATTCTCAAGAGGATTCACCACAAACGAGATTATCACTCGAACTACCAACAGCTAAATGATGAGTCAAACCAATCCAAGGATGTCTCTTGTGTCCACAGATGGATGGAGAAAGATACACGCGCGAGACAGTTACACAAATCGTGGGATTCTGTTGAAGATGCTGGTAACATTTTCCCCTCAAGTCTCACAACGAGGATCATCCAGGCGGATTTTCCCCTCGTGCGCAGTGAATTTTCCTCCAGGGCGTGGCCAAAAGTCTACCCACCGAATGCGTTGAAGCACTCTCTATCCAATCCTCGTCGGAGATTGCGTTATCTCTGGCCAGAGACACTCTAGAGCCTGATACGAAAACGCTGAGCGTGAGCGCTGAACACACCCTCGGAGATACAGCAATACCGCCTGAGAATTTTCGTGATGTGCTACACAATGATTTGCACCAGATGGAAATTTGATATTTGCCGAGGAAACCACACAAAGTGATATTTTGATGGAGGCTAATGGCTCGACGGCGGCTCGATGAGCCTGAATAGCAGAAAAAAGCCACTGTGTAAACAAACATGAGGTGTTATTGCTTTTCCTAAGCCCAGGATACACTCAAGACGTGTAGATGGAGGTCCCTAATGATCTTGCTTTCCCAAAGACAAATAAACTCTTGTCTCAATTGTTCAAACACAGCGCAATTCATTCTGCCACATTTATTCACTACTGAAGATGAAAATTGGTATCTATTACTTGCTTTTTCTTCGAGGGTGTGATTACCCAAAAATATCACACAGAATAACCTGATACTCAATGAATATGTTGAGCATTTACTTTCTTCGGTGCATCAGCTCCAAGAATAACTCTTACTTTTCATATTTTGTTATTTTGTTGAAATTGAGGATTAAAGGGAATAGATCAAGGCTCATGATGTCTCAGAGGGAAGTCAATTCTAAATATTTTGTACTTATTTATTTTAGATATGCTATAATCGATTTTTGTTCTATTGCTCCAGTTGCAGATTTTGCATGCATAGGAATAAAAAGAAAATTACACAATTTACCTTCTCAAAGGCCAAGAGTGGAATTCCGCATTGACTAACCCTTTTCTTGTGTGCATTTACTTACGCATTTCACTTTCTATTGGATCACTGTGTGTTTTGCCATCACATTGGAAATGCCATTAGGCAACATCATAGGGATGACGACGGCAAGAGAGGCGGCTTCTGTGGACGCTACAAGTGTGTAAAATCATCTCTGATACCATTTTCACTGCGTGTGTGGCTTTTGGGCCGAAATGTGGCTCTTTTCACACAATTCCGTCACACGACTTCTTCCCTCTTCGAGAGACAGAGTTCCCATGATTGATGGAATTTTAAGAGATTTTCCACTGACGACATGAACTAAATTGCTAATAAGAGCTTCATATAGTTAATTTTCACTAATTCCCCGTCAATGGCAATTATCGTCTGTGACTGTCTCTTGCGATGAAGCAATTTCACGATAAGAGACAGTACATTTGCGCAGAAAGCCAGACAATCTCAAATAAGATCAATAATTCAAATTGGCTGATTGCTTCATGCCATAGCCACATTGTTTGCTCCTTTTGAAAAAGAGATGAAACATCAACATTTGTAATTATTTCAACAGAAAACACATTAAGCATTCATATGCGCAAGGCAAAGAAAGTCATTGAGTAAGTAAACAATTCTCCATGTGGTATAAAAATCCCACACTCAAACACCACAACTTCTGTAGAAACTTTCCAAAGCTTCTTGATACACAGATTCTTGTGGCAAATCGCAGTGAGAAATTGAACGGAACAAAATTTTAAATGGATATTTTGGCTGGTGGCGTCATTCTAAATATTTCCATTATTTCTCTCTTCAATCAAATCGGTTGGTTTATTTCAAGAATCAATTTCCCTTCATTAAACAAATTTTCTCAACGGTTCCAATTCTTATAGTTCCTCAGAACTTCTCAGAACTACACTCTCTCGCAGTTGTGATGGATGAGAAGCCATCGAGTGATATTTACTGGGAATACACAAATGGGCTCGAGAACTTCTTGAAATTGCATTCTTACCCTCCAATCACATGGATTTCTCTGAATAAATCACAGGAAGATAAAAGTTTCGAGGACAGAATTCTCTCAGTTGCGAATTTGGGATGTCAAGGATACATAGTTGCGACTCCAAGGGTTAAGGACTTTATCACACTGAAATACAACGTTACGCAGAAGTCAATTCTACACCGTCGGAATGACTATTTCATCTTTCTTCTTGATGACCAAGACGGCAGCCTCACGCAAGAGATCCTTCATCATAGTGCAATGAAACGTAAGTATGAAAATCATACACGCAATTTAAAATAAGTAAATTTATATATTTATATATTTTCCAGTATATCCATCACACTTAATAGTGAGAAACTCCAAAAATGGAACCTTTGACTTGATAACACAGAAATTTGTCAGTAATTTCAATAATGAAGAGGGCATGCTGCTAGATATTCTTCAAAAGGACGGTTCCTTGAAAGAAAATGCTGCAATATTCCCTGACAAATTGAATAACTTGCAAGGCAGGGACATTCCGATGGGCACTCACACTTATCTCCCGTATTCAGTCATACAGAAAGCTCCATATAATGGGAACAAAGGAAATGTTGATGAATTGGGTGAAGATCAACCAAAGACTTTGTTTATTGATGGAACTGAAGCAATAATGGTGATTGAATTCAGCCGACTCAAGAATTTCACTATGAAATTCAAAATGTGTAAGTTATAATACGTTAAAGTGATTTTCAATTAATTTAATCCTTAAATCCCTTCAGTTGGAATTGAGGAGTTCGGATCTATTTATGCCAACGGCACAGGAGAAGGTATACTTGGAAATATTTACCTAAAAAATATTGATTTTGGGTTTGGCTGCACGTCATTGTGGTAAATAATTTGTAATGATGATTAAAGATTATTATGTAAGTAATTTCTCCCTTCCTTTTCTCAGGTATTACGAACTGTTGGATTACTCTCACGTAAACGCTGCATCCACTGTAGTTCTTATCATTCCCGCTGCTAAAATGTTACCCCCAGCTATAGCACCATTACTGCCCTTCACATGGAAAGTTTGGCTGGGAATAACGCTTACAATTCTTATAGACATCCTCGTTTACTATTGGCTCGGATGGCACTCATTGAAAGAGTCAGGCAAGGAGTCAAGTTGGAGCTCTGCAATGCTGATTGTCGGAGGAATTTACCTTCAACAGTGCATTCCGGATACGAAGAAAGACTCTTCAGTGCGAGGTCTCGTAGCTATTCTCCTCGTTTCTAGTCTCGTCTTGGGAAATTCATATGGTGGAGCCCTGTCCAGTGTCCTCACGGTGCCATCATACGAAGACTCAGTTGACACTGTTCGAAAAATTGTGGATAAAGGATATAAATGGGGAGGACCGTCACTCGCTTGGGTTAACACTATAATGCGAGCAGAAGATCCTGATTATCAGGCATTAATCAAGAACTTTGAAGTCCATCCAGTGGAAAAGCTCCGAGAGCTATCATTCAGACATGACTATGGATTAGCATTTGAAAAGACAACTTCTGGAAGATATGCTTTTGGCCCTCATATCAAACTGGATGTTCTGGATCATTTCGAGGTTGGAAAATTGCTAAATTCAATTTTACAGAAATATGAGATATGTAAAATGTGTAATTTTCAGCTTTTTAAGAAATTCCTCTTCTTCGAATGGAGCACACCTAATGCTGTTAGAGGATGGCCATTGATGGAATACTTCAACAAGCACCTCCTCGAAGTCCTTCAGCATGGACTTTTTGATTTTTGGGAACGGAGGAGCACAGCGAAATACTTCGATGTGACGACTGAACTCGTTCTTCAGCACATCGCCAGCGGTCATCACATGAATCCAGGTGTTATTGAGCTGCAGGTTTCCCATATTTCAGGAGCTCTTTTTGTCTTAGCCATGGGACTTTTGATCGCTTTTCTTGTCTTTCTCGTGGAACTTCTAGCGTTTCATTATCATAAGCGTCACTAAATACCACAGTAGGAATGACCTTATCACTATCTTAATCTAAGATTATGAATCACGAAGCTTATTGGATGATACAAATCACATTGCATATGGACGGAAAAGCAGATTATTATCACTTTAAGCACTTGATAAGGAGAAATAGAATTGGAAAATTCCTTTGAAAAATTTCTATGGAGCATTTTGAGAAAGAAAACTGATGCCGTTTCATCTCTCTGAAGCACAGCTTTAATGGCGCATAAAGTTGAAATTTGTGTAATTTATTGTGTGTGATTTTTCGAGCAAACTGAGGAATAAAACGTCAAACGCAGCCCATTAATGCCCAAATATGAAATCCATTTGAGTCTTTTATCATGACTTTATCGGGAAAGAGTTTTTTCCCTGATATAAGCTCATGCCTTAAGCCTTCTATGTGGCCTCTGCCAATTGATAAAATATTTAGTTACTATTTAGACCTCATCGTGAGCACATCGAACTGTAGGCTTGTTTTTTTGGCCGAGTGCTTGTGTAGGATTGTATCAATAAAAGGACACTTGAAGAATTGCCAGCAAGTAATACTTCGTGCTATGGGCTCATCGAAACGCAAATCTTCATTCCGGATTGATGATATTCTGCAGCAACAGACAGAGCATCAGATGGCCACGCAGCGTCAGCAAACCAACACAGTGATCAAGAACAGTGACATGGAAGCCACTTCCAGCAACCGATCATCTTCTCCGCCACCTGATCTCTCAGCATCCACTGTGTCGTCGTCAAACGCTCTGCAGTCTGGCAGGGAGTCGCCCAGAAAGCCCACACCCATCTACCCTCAAATGCTCGATTTGCAAAAGGCACCCAATCTATGCTTCCCCATTCCTGTGGGATTCCCTCAGCCCTTTTCACCAGCCGCCGCGTACCTCGAGCACTATGCCAATGCGCTACACAAAGGTTTGTGTTTAATTATACAATTTATTATCATGTACACAAGCGAGAATATATTGCAACAATTAAGTAAAGCAATTGATAACGATAATCCTAATCGCATCTCCTTCCTGTTTTCTAAAAGCGGAACAAAAGTCTTGGGAAGATTAAGAAGCCAAACTGAGTGTTTCAGTTCATCAACAACGCCAAAATTACCCAATTGAAAAGAAAATGAAAAATCTATTGGCAATAAAATGTGTCACTGGCATTCCAACGGCTATTAGTAATTACAAATAGAATAACTTCTCTTAAGTCTCATTGACTGAAATGAAATTTGTTATAGCGAGTTTCATGATGTATGAGAAAGAATTAACATTATCTGAAATCGAATCTAAAATCTGTCTAAAATTAATGATTGCATGACAAAACAAACAAAGAATGCAATAAGAATTACTTCATCATAAATGAACAGAAAATCACACAAATTCCTGTGTCAATTGACAAAGTATTTCACAATTAGATCATACATTTTTCGAAAGTTGAACATCAATTGTAAGAACAGATAGTGACTTGGCGCCATTGGGGATCAATTTCGGTGTTGATATCATATTTGTGAAGAATACACCTTTTTCCAAAAAGCAATCCGTCATCAAGTTGTGATAATTGGAATTTGATTTTCTTCCCTCCACCCCACCGTCGCACTGAGGATTACTTTCACATTCATTACCCTCAAAATGATGATCACACCCGCACAATAAAAGTGCAAATACGAGTTCAACAGTGCACATGATTAGAATATATCAGAATGCCGAGTGTGTGAAGGGATTATGACTAATATTTCTGTGGTTATATCAGAGTCCAAAAAACATTTTATCACGTTTAATAAGCCTCTTGATTACACACAAAGTGGCGGACTTGAATGAGGTCTATTTAGAGAAAATCTTCCAATAAATGTATTTACTGGAAGCGAGAACCTTTTTGCACCACTCCAGATCAAAAGAAGCCGCTCTCGATGACTTCATATTTAGCCGCTGAAAATTTCCAATTCTTCGACTCTGTCGCATTGAGTTATTGCTCCTGAAATACGCATAAAACCGCTCAAAGAGAAAAAATGTGAAACTCACCCTGTAGTGCTCAAGACCACTTAATCAGTGCGCAAATGATGGAATTTGAGGCGAAAAACAGGCAATTTAGATACTTAATCCACGTATGCTTTTCACGCTGATAATGATTTCCTAATTAATTGAAAGAGGATTTACCACGTTTGCCTGAGTGAGTGTGGCTCAAATAATCTGCTAATCACATTCGAATGAGTTCGTCAGAAAATTAATTGCATTTTTATCTACTGCTAAATTATAACCACATCGAAGACGAAAAGTTGCTATTTTATCGTGAATTTGCCTCTCGAGGTCTCAGGTCCCTCGTAGACAGACAAACGCTTTGATTAGTGATTTGATAACATTTTCACATCAATTGATATCCACGAAGAGACTTATTCCAGTGAGCACGATCGTCTAATTCTCCCCCATAATCTTCTTCATTTGATAAAGCATTATCATTTGTGACGCTGCATTATTTTGTCATGTGGATGGATTTTAGTCAATTCCATCTGTTATTTAAGACCCTTGCATTATCGGTGAAATATTTATCCAATTATTAATTCACTGTATATATATAAATTATTGACTTAATTATGTTGATTCTGTTGAAGCGATTTAACACAGGAATAGTTGTATCGAAAAACCAATGAGAATTGCGTTTAAAGAAATATACGAATGTCATGTAGTCCATCAAAAAATCTAGCTCAACTTATCAGTTTGAAATTAATTTTCCGTGAAGAAAAAATTCCCTCAAATCGCTTCGAATGTCTTCAATATCGTTGTCTGTCCGTGATTGTAAATCCCATTTCACTGCCACAAATGAATTTCGCCATCAATTTTGAGAGAGTTGACAAATATTAAGTGCGATCGTCAGCACACACCACCAACATTGTGGAAAAATCAATTTGGTTGAACCAATAAACACACATTTTAGCCACTTCTTCAGTATCTCTACCAGCGTGTAAATTAACTGCTATACCACTTTATCGCTCGTCGATATCAGGTAAATGATGATCAAATTGTGTTGGTTGACACACACGCGAGTGTTTAACACAATAATAATAAATATAAAAGACAATATCATGTCAGATGCATACAAAAACACTCTATTTCTCCCGAAAATAGTAATAAAAAGATTTTTATGCTGTATTAAGAAATATTTCATGAAATATGCATGTTCTATGCTTGTGTATCTTCTAGCATTTGCAATTGAATTGAAACTCTGATAGAGTTTGATTTATGGCTTATGGACTTGTCTCTATACAAAAACGAGTGATAGTGCAATCAAACTCTGAACTAAATTAAATTCAGAGACGCAGAAAACATCAATAAATGTCGAATAGAAAAAATCAAACATCTAATTGAACACCATCATTCGATACTCAATCACCTAATCGATAAGAGCGAAACGCGATGGAAGTCATCAATTACGTCCAGTAGCTGAGATTACACTGAAATTATTTACCTTTCTGTCCTTCCTGCCATCACCGTGCTCAATTTCATACAAAATATGTCCCGAACCCGTGTTTTCCAACCATCGTGTCATCTTCCATAATCAACATAAATTGCCACTGACACCCTTTTATCAATCAGTAACAGCAATTGATAGGGTAATACAGAGCCTCATGCACTCGAAATATCATTGTTACAGCACGCATTTTAATCAAGTTAGGCAAAAATTTTAATGAATCATCATTTGTTTCTAGTGATCTTTTAATTCTATATTGGGGTACTTACCCGAAATCTTGTTTTAGAGCTTTTTCCGCTGTTGCATGATTGAAAATAATAACAACGGGTGATCCATTTTTCAGTCAAAAACGCTGAGCTAGACCCTCTGATATCACCACTCATTTCGACATTATCAGAGCCTCATGAGGAGCTATCACCGTGATTGAGGAAGGGGACAAAATATTTGGCTATTTGGAAGAAGTGGAAAAGCGTGTTAATCACAAAATACATAAAAGCTCTGATTTATCGCAAAACTTGCATGTGTTACCAATTATTCACCCTGAAATATTGTCACTGTGCAGAATAGCACGCACCACGTATTTTCACCGTGGAAAAATCGCGTGAGATTCTCGTGTGGATTGATATGGAATTTTTTTTTTGGCAATTTGCTCAGCTGCATTAACCACATCACGGTGATCGTATATTTTCCGCGAGAAATTCTCAAGAGCCTCGCGCGTAGCGTTGAAAGAGCATTTCTATTTGGAGTGTTGTGAGTCGCCCTGGAGAGTATTGTAAATCTGATAATCAATCAAATCGATCATTCCCTCAATTTAGGAGTGTTATATTGCTGATCCTCGGTTCAATATTGTATGGGCCACTCCAATAAATTCATTTTGCCGACACGCTATCACCACCGCTGAGCCATTTTTCTCCTTATCTCACTCGCTACTTGGCGTAGAGTATTGAGGAACTGTGTTTTGTCGGAATCCTTCAGTGGGTGAAATGTCTCCGTGAGCCCACTTCAAGTAAAATGCCACCGACCCAATAATATGGCAATTTAATTTGAAGATAAAATGTGATTTGCCGAGAAATTAATTGCCTTCGCGATACGAGATCAATCCACTCATAATAATGGTCTTAAATTACTTTACACTCGCTCTTGCGATATCATGGTGGATTTCTCTACCTGTAGCACTCGTGATATTTTCTGCGATAGTGAAGTGTTTACATTCGGTTAAAGCTTTAATGTTGTTTTTTCTTGTTTTCTTATTCTTTCAGCATCGCCACGCCTCTGGCCTTTCTATCCTCATCCCTATGGCGGCTACCTACTCCCACCTTGCGGGTCAAAGAGAAAAGGCGGACAGGTGCGATTCACACCGCAGCAGACACAAAGTCTAGAGCGAAGATTCTCCAATCACAAATACCTCTCGCCCGAAGACCGAAGACACTTGGCCATGCAACTGAAACTTAGCGATCGACAGGTTAAGCATAATAGTACCACAGATCATTTTCAAATAATAAGGAGATTTCTCTGTCAACAGGTTAAGACATGGTTCCAAAACAGACGTGCCAAGTGGAGAAGATCCAACAATGGTGCAACAACTCTGGACTCTCCCAATACAGGACCTTCAGACACCCATTCGGATGATAATGCAACTCCGCCTCTGAATTTGACTGGACCCAACACGAAATACAACTCCAGTGCAAAAGCCCAGCAAAATGATACTTCATCCGATGAGGACGACAATTTTGAAGAATCCAACTCACCCATAAATGTGTCATAATCACGATCGAATAGCTCTTGCAAAATTGTCAGTATTATATAGATAGAAAATCCAATCGAAATCCAATAAAATTCTGCCTTCTATTCGTCAACATGAACTCTTGGACTTGAGGTGTAAGTTTTTCAGAGGCATTTGCGTCATTTTATGACTTCGATTGAAGACTTTTCTTCTGATTCACATTTCCATGAGAGAGACTTCATGGAGTGTTATCAGAAATTTTATTTGGCTTCGTGATAACCATCGATATGGCCAAAAATAATCATGAACTAATTCACAAGAGCAATTAAACCTTGCGAGTATATTATGAGTAATTGCAAAATCATTCATTTTGATTGGATTTTAATCTGGGGTCTCATTCGCCAATCACTGGATCAATGTGCGTTCAACAATCAACAAAAGTTATAAATATTATCACAAATATATTTCATATAAAATTCAGATAATTTCAATTATCAGATGATAAGTCATTTTGCTCAATGATTACGATTCTTCAATGATTATCAGCTTTCCAAGAACAATACTTCTTGTATAACAATTTTATGCGCACGAAGTGTGTCTTCGCTACTTTTCTCATGGCCCTCTGGTGGTTTCCACCATCGACACAGCACTCTATCGTACACCAAGTCGTACACAATTTGTCGACCGTTTAAGCGCCAAAATTGTCGGCTTCCATAGTCTTCAGTGAATCAATTTCCCATCTTTTCTTTGTGTATTTGTACTACAAATTCTCTTTCTCCCATTTCATTCCTGAGCAATCAACTATTGTTGCTCGCCAGAGTAAAGTCAGTGTGGGAAATTTAAATTGTAATTTGTCTTTCCTTCCCGCAACACCACGATCATTTGCCATCTCCAGCCACGATCGTCAAACTCGCTGAAATTTCGACCGTATGGGCACGATGCATGACTTCGCCTCCTCCTCCCATAAATTCCATTTTCCGCAGTCAGGAGTACGCAGTGTGATCAGAGCCGCCATGACGATCGCATCACGATCCAACTTGACCCATTTCACTTAGAAGCCTTTACCTTCTCGTAAGAGAGTGCTTTTTTGTGTCGGTGCGCAGGAGAGTGATTCTGGACGGCGGTGGGAAGGTAGACCAGCTCAATGTGTAATAAAAGGCACTTTGGAAATAAAACATATAAATAGGTGAAAAAAAGAACAATAAGAATAATAAGGAGTAAAAAAAATACCACGCTGAGTGCCATTCGTTGTTCTCTCTCGCTCTCTTGTTCCCTTCCATTATTTTTTATTCCTCTCTCTACACATCTCATTCTCCGCGATCTTCAATTCGTGATCTTCAACTGACCAAGTCTCTCAGTTTCCACCGAGAAGTCAAAGCATCAACAAACTCTGGCGTCTCGATCTCGCGCGCGCGCGTCCTTCGGTATTTTCCCTCAATTTCCCTCACCTCAGTTGCCGGTGCATTTCTCACCTCCCGAGAGGAAATTCTAATCTCCACCGCCCACACTTTCCCACCGAAATTCCAACTCCGTGCGTCGGCGACTCTCAGGTGCTCAGTATAGAAAATTCTGTGTTATCATTGTACATAGAACCGAGGCTCTGCGTGTGTGTGGGCTCAGCAGGTGGAGAGTTTCACCTCAAGAGCCGCGGCCGTTCAGTGCTTGGAGTGAAGTTCGTGGGTGCACACACTTGATAAGTGTCCCTCAGGAGAGCGTCTTGCACAGTGTGATAAGACATTCCAGAATCGTGTCTCTCCCACGAGTGATTTCCGCTGGCTCACTTTCACGGATTCAGTGACAGAGGAAGAATATGGTCTCGCATCGCGGAGTTTGCTGCTGAAAAAAGTGAACTACAAAAACGTCCACCCGCTCGAATTGTGCAGCGAAAAGGAAGGGAAATTCGAGAATTGCGCCAATTCCGTGGCGTGGTGTGTGAAGAGGAGTGAGATAGAATTATGTGCGGTGTACATTTGAGACTCCCCCATAGTGTACCTTAACATTTTACCAGAGGAAGCCAAAAATGCTGCCCAAGAAGCGTGTCCAAGCTCTCACCCTCGGCACCATCCTCATTTGCAGCCTTCTCATTTCTGGCAGTGCTCAAGACTTGGTGAGGCGACGTAAGTATAGCAAACACATCTCAATTTACAATAAATGAAAGGGATCGTCATTACTGCAATTTATATACATTTCAACTAAATGTCATACTTTATGCATTATTAGACGACATTCTACGAATAGTTGAAAAGTGATTGAATTGTTAAATAAATCCAGCACATGAATATTTGGCAGCACGTCTATTATGGATGTTTTCATCACTTCTAATTAATATGATTATCCCCTCAAATACAATGCCGATTTTCCTCAGTTTTTACCTTAGCTCAATTGCGTGTGGTTTTTTGTGTTGTTTCCCCTCTTTTTTATGGCCATTTGTTGGCGTAATCTCAATTTACATATTAAATATAAATTTATATCAATGTCACATTCTCGTGTTTTCCATATTTTCCACACTGACTCCCAAGAAGGTGCTTACAAAGTAGTTCTTAACTCGTGCCTAACACGCATCTGTCACAGTTAAATTATAAATTCTTCACAAGTCACTAAAAGTGATCTCTCATTTGTGATCTATTGATCATTCACCCAATCAATTCCCGAAGAGAGCATCATTGGTGTGACTTTTTGATTAGGAACCCTTCATGACTATGTTGTGTGTGGCTCTCAAGACCAACTACGTCGTCTGTGATGAGATGTAATGAGAAATTCCATATTGATTTATTGCTCAAGGCTCCGAAAGCGCGTCATATTTGGGACCAACGACGTTTCATATAATGAAACATTTAAATTCTCCGAGTGTTAAATCGATACTGTATTTTTATGAAGAATATTTTTAGTTCTTTGTGCGTTTAATTACAGAGCTGTATAGGGAAAGTTTGGTGCAACGACATTCGAGGTATTTTATATGTTGATCAATAAGAGTAAAAGGAAATGATAGAGCAGTCGGGAAACGTGTTAGAATTTTATAAGCTGAATAAAACAACTGACTCGAATCACTGCATTTTATCCCAGGTAATGCTCTTCAAATGCGTTTTTTTCTCCGATTTGTTATTCCCTTTCTCAAATGTGATCTACTATTTTATGTTGAAAGGAAATAGATTATTTCAATGCACGTCCCCTCAAGAGACTATAGATGGCAGACAACTTTCTATTTCTACACTTCTTATCGCATAAAACAAACATAAAAGTGTAAAGATAATCCCTTTATTATCGCTCCTAATGTGCTTGTATGTGAAAATTTATTGACGAAAGGAAATTTGAATAATTCATGTCCTCATTATCTCAACTTTTTCCAACCTATTCATTACTCTCACACTTTTCAGACACTCTAATTGGATTTGACCAAAAGAACTGAGATTGTAAAATAATTTATGTTCAATCTATCACAATATTTAGATATTACTCGAATATTTGCCTCTCATTCCTTGAGTGTCTAATCTAGTCTTTTATTAAAGATACATTTTAGCTGTATAAATAGATTGTCTTGCCATGTAAACAACACTTGGGAAAACAGACAACAAATTCTCCATTTGAATGTTCATCTTGCAATACAAGTGTTTGACTTCATAATATTTCATCGAATGCCTTTATGAAAGATCGTGATCGTAAATTTGGAAAAATTGATGGTTCTTCAAATGCTTTTCTTGGGAGCCAAAAACATAAAGACAGAGTCTCCTTCGGACATTCATTGCTCATTTTGGCGTTGTGAAATTTTCCTCAATTATCTTCTGTCCAATTTTCATTGAAAGATCACTCATGAAGATCGCGCTTTCTGCTTGCGTAAAGGCAATTCCGCGCACAATTTCCGACACTCGAAGTGATACTTTACCATCAGCGACTGTCAGTTAATTTTCTGATGTAAATTAGAAGTGATCTTCAGATGATCTTCACCGGGGAAAACCTTACGATTGGCTTGTTATCGGTTGGATTACGAAATATTACTCACTTTTGTATTAAATATGTTATCGCTCGTGAGTGCAAATAATTGTGCAAGACAAACTTTGAGACAGAATTTCAATTGGAAGTGAGAAATTCCCATCACTTTCCGTTCGCCACTATGAACAAACATTCACCTTCACTGAGCATAATTTTCATTTCATGACTATTTTTAGTAATTTTGTGTGAGAGCGAGAAGGAAGTCAAAAGGAGAATAAAATTATCATGACAATCACCGTTCTATTTGATTTTTCAGCCAACATTTTCGCTCTCTCTCTCACTCTCGAGATAATTTCAGTGTGAGTTTGAGGTGGAAAAAAAATATTCCTGTGCACCGTGATTCGACAGAATTCTCACAGAAATTCCTCATCCGTTATTGTTGATTGAACCACAAACTCTTTACCTCGCGGTACACCAGCTGAGATAAAAGGAGGAACAAAAAGTGTGGATAAAATTTCAATGGTCTTCCCGGGAAAGTTTTCACGATCATTTTTCACTCTCATCTCCAATTTCTCTTCCTCCTTCTGGATTCGACACATGCGAGTGCAAGATGGGAGGAAAAAGCCAGCAAGAAAGCTAGACAAAAAGTCACAGATGTTAATCAATTAACAAAAATACACATGAGAACTCTTGCTCATTTGCCCTGACGTGATCGTGTTTGACGATCTTTTCGGTCCTACTTAGGTGAGAACATTCTCAAGCTGATATGTTACAAAGAATGAGAGTCACCCTATTGAAAATGGTAAAATCGTGAAAAATTATCAAAATTGCTCGAGTGGAACGTCTCGATGGAAGCCATTGCGATTTTATTGAAGACAATGATCGTTCTTTTTCAGAGTTTCAGAGTTACAATTCACTCAGATAATAGATCGAGGCGCATTTCCAACTCGATCGTCTTGATCAATAAAAAAGCTGATTTATCGCCCTATTAGGAATGCATTTAGGGCGCACAATAAGAATACTAAATATGTAAATTAAATTACATGAATCATTCTTGAAGATCGAATACAAATATCGTTAAGAATTGTGGGCATTTATGGTCTTCATTATGTTCAACTATAACTTTCACCTTCACTCCCTAAACCCTAATCTTAAATCGTCGCCTAATCTGATGGGACTACCATTCTTCGATGAAATATCTTATCTTGTAAGAATCGTAATCGCCGAAACTCGACTCTGTGGCCTCTTCAGAGAATAAATGGGCACTCTTTTGAAGACACTCCGATCCAAAGTGAGGCGCAATTGAGGAGAATTTTGAATCTCTCAATGTAATTAAATTAAATTAAAATTGCTAGTGGGGCAATTTACTAAATTTCCGACACGGGAAAGAGACACTCTCACCCAGAGTGAACTCAAATGACCCACATTGAGTGGATTTCCTCTCATTTTTCTCAAGCTCCATAAAATCTCCATGACAAAGAATCATCAGAAATGGTAACATATTGAATACTCTGAGCTCACTAGACAACAATCTCTTTCAGGCAGATTCTCTGATGCGTAGTAAATGAGTCAGGGAGTTATGCAATGGGTGGTCCAAGGCTGGAGCTGGGAAGGAAAAATAGCTAGAATGCACTGGCACATTTTCCTCACATTAATTTTCTCTGTCACACTGATTGAAAAGAGATTTCAACAGTTTTCTCCCATATTTTTGGCATTGTTGTGAACTGAGATCAACTCAGATTGTGGGAAGACAACTGACAATTGTGTTCTCTCTTCCGGCCAGGTACCAGCAATGTATGTCAGTCGAGCAGCGTTTGTCCACCGAACGCGTACTGCGAGTACAATGCAGATCCTCTCGACACCGGCCAGTGTGTCTGCAATCCTGGCTACATCATTGTGGCGGAGAACAAGAAACGCGAGTGCTATCCGGTGGCGAAGAATCTGGGAGATTCTTGCACGCACGATGATCAGTGTCAAATGGCTTTCAGTACGGAATCAGAGTGCTTCCAGGGAAGGTGCGACTGCAAACTAGGAACGCACTTTGTCAGGCGCGAGAACACCTGCTACAAAAGTGTCAGTAAGTTCATCTCCTTATAAGCATTGGTCATGAAGCAATGAGTGAAGATTCCCCAAAAATTGCAAAACATCACTTTTGAAAGCCTCAAAATTATTACTGTTGTCTCTGCGTGAAAAACAGCCCTGAATGTTATCTGATCTTACATTAAATCGTTGGCGAAACTGAATTATTTCATTACTTTCCTCCATATTCAATTTTATACGCACTGTCTGAAGTCATTCAACGATCCTCCACTTAAGGCTAAGCTTTCATTTGATTGAAGTCAGACCTCGACTAAAAATATCGTATTGAGAAATTGTAGCTTCCACCAAACAAACAAACATGCAGATGGAAGTGGCGGCGAGAATTCACGAGAAAATCTTCCAGCAAATCGCTAATGAGAACATTCATGGATCAAATCAATTTACACGTTCATCGAAAATCCGATCTCTTAACTTAAAAGCCCCATCGTCTTTCACAGAGATCAACGACTGGTGCCGCTTGACAAACAATTGCCTGGGCGAGGGAACTGTCTGCCGATCGGGTGTGTGTCTGTGTCCTTTCAACAAGCACCCAAATGAGGACTTCACGGAGTGCGAGGACGACATCGCACTCGGAGAGTCTTGCTTCAGGGATTCCCAGTGTGTGGCCAACAACTCGCGCTGCCACGATATCTGTCGCTGCCGCGTGAGTCACGTTCTAAGTCATGATCGTACGAAATGCTTGAAGAGTGAGTGTATCTAATCGTGATCTTGAGACTCTTTAATCTGACGCTTGGATTTTCTTTACAGTTGCCGAGCAGTTGTACGACGAGTGTGAAGAGTCTATCCAGTGTACTTATCAGCTCAATTACTCGAGCTGTGACTTTGACTATGATTCCGAGACGGTGGGAAAGTGCAAATGTCGGCACGGATATCACGAGTCCAACGGGGTAAATTCGATCTCACCCTATACTTTCTCAATTAATCAACATTGAGTGAATAGTGACATTGAACACTAATGAAGAAATCGATAGAATTCAGTAGAAAATTACTTCAGAAGTCGCATACATTGGGTTTGAAGATCATGCCCAATGGCGTAAGCATTCCAATTAAAGTCGTCAAACTACAGTCATTCAGTTTGGCAGAACGTAATGAAAATTACATGCAAATATTACTTAGTTGGAATTAACCAAAGTGATCAGAGACACATAATTTGTTTAAAAAAAATCACACTTCAAACGTTTTGAGTAATTAACTGCATTAACCTTGTTCTAGACGTGGCTTATTAACTTATCACTAATCACAAACGTGTCCAGAAAGCTAATCAATTCATTTCAAAAATACATTCACCTCTAATGTTTCATAAATTAACAAGATTTCTCTGCCTTTCAGGCTTGCTTCGTGTCTGTGGAAGTCGGTGGAATCTGTGAAATGGATGAAAATTGTTCCTTGGACCCGTTCTCCATGTGCCAAGAGGGCCGATGCGTGTGCATGGAGGGTCTCGTGAATATTAACGGCGAGTGTTCCTTATCACCAACTCTATCGCCCAGCAGAATTCTCACGTTTCTCACACTTTCTCTGGCACTCGTGCTACTAAACTGAACCACCCGTCGTCACACAGAGTCTGCTATCAGTCAAAGAACGAGATAACATCTCAGCCGTTGCCAAATACTACGTTAGAGTCGCATCTTGATGAGTATTTCCCTATTTATTCTCTCCCAATTGCTCAAGAAAAAGGTGCAAGATTGTAGAAAATTCTGTGTATAATTTATTAGATAAAAAAAAATTGTATGTAAAAATACTTTTGTTAATGTTAATATTGCTATAGAGTCTAAATATTATCAAAGAGGCATGAAGCAAATAAACTAATACATGTAAAATCGTAGAAAATGCCTTTTCTTCTTAAGTATACACAGGATAATAGAGTATTTGTGGGTGGACTTCTACGATAATACTGTGAATTGGAGCAAAAGTGATGGATAGAACAAAGAAATACCACCAATTATATACGTATATGATGAGCCTATGCTCCAAAATGCTGCAATAACGATCGAAAAAGAAGAAAATAATTATATATTGGCAACATAACGGAGAATAAAGTTAATTACTCACCCATGGAAGCGACAATTGGTCCCAGAGCTCTCGCCAAAGCACCCAAAGACCTGAATATCCCCAAAACGGTGCCTTTCTGGTCAAAGTTTCCATACTTTGAGGTGAGTGTTGTCATGCAGGTGACCACAAATGCAGTAGCTGATAAAGAGAGTATCTAATTAGTACAATTATTCGCAAAAAACAAACACTAAATACTTACAAATGGCAAAAAGAATCATCCCTAGATAAAGCATTGAAGATGATTGAGCCAATCCGACGACTATAAATGATGGGACAATTAAGTACAGTCCCAATACAGCTGACTTCTGGGTCAATCTCTCCGGCAAGCGCCGCACAACGGATCCCTGAAGCAGAGCCATCACAACTCCAGTGGTGAGGAATACTTTAGCTTGGTCGATGGACGTGAAACTGAACTTGTGATACATCAAAAACGTCACTGTGAACTCCAGTCCTGAGTAAATGAACAAGTAGACAAAGTAGATAAAACCTAGTCTCTTTAGGGATTCGAGATCTTTCGCTGAGAGATTCTTCACAGCATCGAACTTGAAGAGCGATGCAGGATTAATGTATTCAAAAGCTCTTGAGAGAGAAATGAGCACTTTCTTAGCGCGCTTCTTCTGCAAATACACGAAAAGAAGAGCATTAAGCATCAGGCTATTGTACGGTAAAAAGAGATTATTACCTGAGGGAGTGTCTCCTGAAGACAAACCCCGAGAAATAGGATATCTGCGATGGCCAGGAACATTGCAAAAGCGGCAGGAAGCCAAAACCAGTCTGGTGAGCTCTTATCACTGTATCTGGAGAAGATCGCTCCAATCATGGGGCCAACGATGAAACCCAGTGAGAAGGCAATGCCAACCAGAGCCATTCCTTTTCCGCGATTCTTGCTGTTGGAGACATCCGTGATGATCGCCATGGCCAGAGAGATGTTCCCCTTGCTGAGGCCTCCAACGAAGCGCGCAATCACAAAAATGGCAAAATTGCTTGACACAGCCCACAGCAGATAAGAGAGAGCAATCCCACTCTGGAAAAGTAAATTAGCACTTTTAATTAACGAACTGATGGGGAAGAATATGTGAAAGAATTCGCAAATTCAGCAAATACGAAAGCAAAATGAAGCATTTTCGTTTTGTGACCTGAAAAGAGGTTTTGCAAACTAATCACAATTCATTAATAAATCATCGATAAGAAAATTCCCAGACAGACAGCTTTGAAATCGAGAAATTCCCGATAATTGTAAATTGAGACCAGATTAGAGGGACTTGAGGAAGCCTTACCATGCAAATCATCATAATCCTTTTCCGGCCATAGACATCTGAAAGGGCTCCAACGATGGGACTCGCCACGAATTGCAGGAAACTAAACATGGATCCCAGGAAGCCACCGAAGAGAACAGAATTGTACTTCTCGGGCGCTCCGACAGTCTCTTGAAAGAAGCTGATGCTCTCCGAGAGCCTGTGGTAGAGTCCCTGCTTGTCGTGCTGCCGATAGTACTCGAGCAGTGATGGTAGCAGTGGAAGGATCATGGTGAAGGCCAGCAGATCCAGCAGCAGAGACAGGAACACCACGTACACGGTTTTGTGCGTAGCTGAGCCCTCCGGGAGCGTCTCTTTCGTCACCTTGTTCTCCATTTTCTTGTCCGGCACTTTCTGATTTACACCACGCACAGCATTACCCTTCTCCAGCGACTCCCGCAAGTATGTCATTGCCTTCCACCTGCTATCGGGCACGTTCTCTGGACTATCTCGCCGTGATCGCGATTAGAATGGACTTCCCCGAGCGGTAAACAGAGAGAGAATTTGGAGCGATCTGGAGCTCTCGTTGACGTTGAAACTTTCACCAAAACTTAAGTACTTTCACTAACAGCAGATTCGCACGATCTCATCACACGTTGCAAGAGCACTACTTCATCTTCACAATTCGATCTCACGGCACGAAAGCAAATGAGCAGAGGCAACGAAAAATGCAAAAGAATACGGCAGAAACGCGTTGTTTTTATCGCTCCTCCGCCCAGATGTTGTGAGGTTATGTGTCTGACAGATTGAATTCCCGGCCCGGCGGGAAAAATGTTCCGCCAAAATTCTCTCTCAAAAAACCCAGAAAACAATCAAAAAGACTCAAAATCCATATTTCCGTGACATTGAAGTCATATATTTAGCCATATTTATTACTTATTATAAATTTAAAAAGTTCTAATATTCCAGTTCAATCGATATTTTCAAAGTAGTTGATCGGCAGTCCTGGGCGAGATCTAATAAAAACCAATCCTCCAGGATTGTCCGTGTTCCAAATTTTTTCCTTAAAATTACATACAATTTGCAATATGCATCTCACACATCAAAATCGCATCCGTTTCCGGGGTCCGCTACCTCTCAAAAGAGTTCAACTATCAGGAATTATCAATTTAAACTTGTTATGCATTCTCTCGTCCCATAGAAGTTCGCTTATAAACTCGTTCACCGCATCCCTTTGGCCAGTTTCATCCGCTTGGTGGACAGAGGGATTTGTGGAGAAGGATCAAATCAGCCAATGAATTTGCTCGTGCCTAGCGGTTGTCAACTCTTGCCCTCGAAGTGCTTCGGAGCGTCTGCATAAGTGAACTTCAGTCGAAAAGCCTCCGCCACGAGGATGCTGATGTGGGAATCCATCCAGTTGTGAGTGGGTAAATTCTGCAGCATCAGCATGAGGCCCTGAAAGTGCAAAAGGAATCCCTCAAGTACTCTGGAAATTGGCTCTTCGTGGCTCATCTCACCTGGAAATCCTTCTCCTGCAGCAACTGCTCCCGCCAGTGCAGGAGGAACGCCGCACAGACGTACAGCTGGAACACGGCGAAGCCATCCGACTCGGCCAAGTACGTGTCCCACAGACGAATGGTGCAGTGGAGCGGCAGCTCTCGTGTCAGGAGATTGTTCATCCAGCGGAAAGAGAACTGCAGATAATCCACGCCGTGTTGCACGAGATGCTTGTGCAGATTCCCATCAATGCGCTGAATCAGCTCCTTCAGATGGTTCACCTTCGCCTGAATACCGAGCTGGGCGAAAATGTAGTTGTCCTGAATGCAGTCGAGGAACTTCGAGAGACACCAGAAAGAGTCCGCCTCAATGATGTTTCGCTGCTCCTCCGACAAATCCTCCAATTTGAAGGTCTCAAGCTCAACTTCTGCAAAATTTCGAATGTTTTCTCACTTTTCTTTTTTCTCAAAATAACTCAAAAAATTGGCAGCAGTTTTCTTGGCATTCAAATGCATTCAGCAATAATAAACATATCAATATCACTCACTCGAATCAAGAGTTTCTTGCAGGAAGATGATGAAGAAGGGCGTCACGAGATCATTAATCCCCTGAACGTATCCCGAGGCCGGGTGTCTGATGGCCCAAATGAAGAGAATCCTCTCGAACATTTCCTGCACGAGATGCTGCTGAAAGAGTGGCACGTGTGGATTCATTCGCGGCACATCGATATGAATTTGATCTGTTGAAGATAAAATAGAATCACTCCCAAATCTGCATTTATGACAGCCAGTGGATCTGACTCACGATAAGTGTCCTGCTGAGCCTCGTCTCGACTGTCGACGGGGAAATACTGAGATACGAGTTTATGATAGTCGAGCCTCTTGCGCTCCAGCACAGAATTGCGACGCTCGAGACTTGTGGGTAAGTATCCGGAGAGGAGACGCCACGTCACAGGACGCATCTTCTTCGGGATGCCCGACCAGCTGAGCTGTTTCAGAGCGATTAAGTTGAGCAACGGTTCCTCTAGCAGCACCGTGAATTTCTCTAGCTTGGACTCATTGTTCTCATCCTTGGATAGGCAACTCGAAGACAGTTTGAGGAGCTGAGGACGTCCTGGATATGTGTGAAACTGGCGATAACGCTTCCTGCAACGCAACGCAGAGTCATCATTTTCCGGTGGAAATTTTAAGGAGTTCTTCTATCAATTCAAGTGTCTATGCGGTAGTTTTTTTGGTACTCAAGATAACGTCAAATTTCCGAATATAACGTATGGAATTGATTATGGTTTTTTTGTGATTCTCATAAGATTGCTCAAGCCTCAGTTTGTAATGTTTCTCTTTTCGTAACAATAATATCGAATCAAATGAAATTCAACTGCATATGTATTTACTATTTTATGCGTTTGGTTGAGTTCTTATCACAATTGTAACAGAGCCACAATGAAATTAGCCAACTATAAACACGTAGCAGGTGGAAATTTGATAAATTTTAGAGAATTCTTTCAAGTGTGTAAATTTGGCTTTTAGTTGGTTTTACCTTACACTTTGTGTGTGACTAAAAATAGCACGGAAAATGTGTTAATGAAAATGACAAGTTCTATGCATCCCCTGAGAGCAATCTTCAACCCTGTAATTTAGGTAATATTCTGAGGAAACGCACGTTCTTTTGCAATTTGTCGCTCTGTGCTGACTAATTGTCGTGCCATTCGTGCTATTTGATAAACAAGCAGATAAATGTAATTAATTTACAAAATTCCCATGCATTCAGGCACGTTTCCGCCAATAGTCTCGAGATTATCTCTGGGTAGTGGCTTCAAGGCAATCGTGCCAAACTGGCCGAGAGAACCTCTTGTATGGAATCGCATTGGAAGCAGATTCCCAACGATCAGGAAGTGCCGATCTTGGGAGTCAATGGACAGACCTTGGCTCGGAACTTGCGCGCTCCCGGCTGATGGCGTCGTCCACCAGACTGAGCTCGTTTATCAGGTCGTCAGGCACATTGTTGCTCTCCTGCGTGTGGTTCTGCGGGGGCGCCTGGACGGCCGGCTTGACATCGGGGGCTCTGCCCAAATTGCTACGGTGAGTCTTGACGGTGAGAGCGGCGGACGGCCCGGCGCTGCGCTTGCTCGCCCTCCCATCCCCAATGCCTGACATAATGCAGAACTCGTCGTCGCCGAGCTCCCAGGCGTCCCGCACAGACTCCTGAAAGTCCTGAAATGACGTGGATCCCATCTGCTGGGACTTGCTCTTCACAGTGGCAGCCACGGTTTTCCCGGGCACAGCACGGCTATTGTGCCGCCAGAAGGACTCGTGATTGTTGTCCATTGTGCTGCCGCAGTCACTGCCCCAGCCGATTTTCACATTCAATCACGACTCACGCCTTTTCACGCCCAGATAATCACATTTGAGAGAAAATATTTGTGTTTTTCACCAAGAGAAATCAAATGAATTCTTCTATTTCTTTACGGAACTGACAATTTTGGAGAGTCGATGAGTGTCGATCACTGCAGACCAAGCGCCACCTGGCGAAGAATAGTCTTGATAGAGGTGATTTTGCGCGTTAACATACTTGAGAATCTTCCAAGGAATCTCCCGGAAATGTAACACATTCTCTATAATCACCCTGATATTTATTTCATAGCGAAATTCGTGTACATAGTTACAATCATTATTAAAAGCTCTCAGTGCATCACTAGAGAAACACCTTTTCTCAATAGCAATCGGCATCGTTCACCTTGATGTCCTTGAACGAGAGAAGAATGTCGTCCAGGAGGGAACTGAAGCTCTCTGTCTGCGAGATCCATTCCGATTTGGACTTTACCAGTTCGTTCAGGTCAATCTTCAGCAGTGCCGTTAGGAATTCATTCGGCGACACCTTGGCAAACTGCTTGTACAGCTCTGGATCGATGGGAGACTCTTTCTGCGCTTCCTCTTCGCACCCATTTACGCTCATCTGATTCTCATACGCTATGGCCAGCAGATTCACATCCGTGGCATCGAGAATAGACTCAATGACCACATCAGGATTGCACCCTGGAGACACATCAGCATTATTCCTCTCCAGACTGCCGCCTTCGGGCACTTTGGGCGGTGATTTCTGGTAGGGCACATCATACACCGGCTGCTCTCGCGGGCTCTCCTGCTCGAGTTTCTTCCTTGACTCGAGATAGTTGTACTTCGACAGAAACACCTTGACATTCTCAATAATCTTCACAGCTTCCTTCACCACGGCCAAGTCACAGTCATCTTTGAGACACTCGAGCAGCACTCCCAAACACCCCCGGACAGACAATTCATCGAGAATCCGCCCTATCCGGAGGGAGATCTCCCTTTCGTTTAGTGTCACGATCTTTTTGTTCTCCTTCGAAAAGGTCACTGACGGAAACACGCCATCAATCACACCCTGATGCTGACACTGACGCCTTATGACATTCCTCCAGAAGAGAAGACCATTGATCTTCACCTCCCAGTGCAGATCATTCACAGCACAGTGCGCCATTGTCGAGAGAACGGAATCTAGCTGAGCCTTGGGCACTTTTTGGTGATCGTACAAGGAACAGAGAAGACACACGGCTTCTCTTCTCACCACACCCTCGCTTTCATTGCCCAGGGCCCTGAGTAGGTGATTCTGAAAAGAGAAAACATCCGTAAAACATCTCAATTTGCAGAGAAGCCACAGAATCTTACCACCAGATCCAGGGAATTCAGTGATTTCTCCCAATATCCCGGAATGCTCATCATTTTGTACATGCAGTGAAGAGCGGATGCCCTCACATAAGGCTCTGTGTCATTCTTCGCCATGCTGCCCACAATTGGACACAGTTTATTGTCCAAGATATGCTGCTGAAAGGCCGGGAATTCTGCCAATACAAGCAAATTATTTGATTTCAAGATTCGCCCAATAAATTGCAATTATTTTACTCACTCTGCTCAGAAATCATCACCATCGCAGACAGCAGCTCGAGTGTGCTGTCTCTCGTCTCCCAGGAGTTATCGTGGAGCTTCTTGAAGATCATCTGACCTAATCCCTCCATCGCCGATCCCTTCAGCGTGTCCACGAGAAGCGCCAAGTTGGGCGCCAAAAAGTGCTCAATGGACAGTTGAGTGAGCTGAAGTGCTTGAACGACGTGCTGGTGGAAAAAATAGCATTGATAAGGCCACCAAATCAAATGCAATCATGAGATAAACTCACCCGCGATGACAAATTCGGATCCTCGAGCAGTGCCAGCATGAAGTTTATCACTATTGTGGATTCAAGGCACTCTTTCCACGTGATTTTGTACTCTTTCACGAGGCCATGCAGTCCCGTGAGCACGAAAGATAGGAGATTGGGGGATTTCACCAGCAGATCCGTGGAGATGATATTGGGCCGATCGAGCAGACAGCTGTTCTTCGGCTCCACAGAGTACAGACAGTAGATCAGGGCCTGGAAAACAATCACTGCTCTCTCACGCGTGAGAACCTCCTTCATTCCCATGATGCTCTGGATGGCTCTGCACGCGAAATCCGTCACCGTTTCGCTGTCCACGGTGAGCATGAGATCCCTGAAGGCGTAGCAGAGGCGGATGGTGTGCTCGGAAGACACATTGAGGAGCTTCATCGTGTACATGTCCAGACACGCCGTGTCCTCGCGACGGCTGTGAATCTTGAAGATCACCGGCATTATTTGCAGCACGATGAATTGATCCTCGAACTGAATCTTCTGGTTCTCCATGGCCACTTCGATGGGCGGTGGGGGATTGAGAGACTTCCACAGGATGTGACTCAGCTCGGCCATCATCAGGATGTTTCCGCCGCTGCGACGCTGGATGCAGAAGTTCATGCAGTTGAAGAATCTCACGCCGAACTCATTGAAGTTCTCCTCGTCGTGTCCCATCTCGCTCCGGCGCACCTGCACCTGTGCGAAGTTCGTCAGCACGAAGATCCTCATGAGCTTCCCGAGGAAGCGATGATCGTGCGTCACAGCCGCCAGACGCCACAAATAGTGCTCCAACTCACACGTCTCGATGATGTACTTGGAGATCTTTCCACACTCGTTCCCCTTGATGGTCTTGTACAGAATGTAGCCCAGGATGTGGAGAGTCGGCGTGACGTACTTCTGCATCTCCGAATCGTCCACTGATAGCACGGGACTCAAATCTGTCTTCTTTATCTCCTCCAGCGGCTTGCAGATCTCCCCGAAGATCTCAATGCATGTGCTGCGATCTTCGCTGAAGCAGTACTTTCCGATGATGCCGTGAATGAAGTTCAGTGCCTCACGAACGACGTACACGGTGCGATCGGTGTGACAGTAGTCGACGGTGATCAGCCAGGCTCTCTTGTCTCTGATCCACGCCAGGCCGGCATCGTGTTTCGCAATCCCCGCCAGGAGGATCACATTGGCAAGTTGAATGGATGGTGTTTGGGTAGTCGATGGGCTGTTAATAATCTCGTGGACCCTGAAAGCACAAAGGAATCGATTTATTTATATCTTTTCCTATCGCAAATGAATCAGGAGGACAAAACTACATTTATTCAATTATAATTTACTGACTTATTGATGTCCTTGATAGCTTACAATGCTGTGAACTTGTCCAATTAACCCATCACACAATTTTTCTCTATCAGCAAGCGAAAAAAAAAATTTCAATAGGAAACTTCAACGCGATTTAAGAAAAAAGTTTGACCTCGAATTGAGGGAAGACGTAGCAAATTACTCGAATGATTAAATATTTTGTATAGAGTAAATATAATTATCAGCAGAAGAGTTCAATGCTTTTATCAGAGAACCTTTTTTTCCGGGGAGGCACGTATAAGATAACACGTGATAAAGAATTTGATAGTTTACAGCAAATTTGCTCCCAAGTGTAAAGTATCACTGAAGATGTTTACTTTTCCGCACTGAAACATTTCAGCCATCTCAGGGTGCTTATTGACTGTCCGGAGAGAGGGAAGGCACGCCCAGACACCCAAAAAATTGACTAGAATTGCGAAATTCGCCTGGCGCCAGAAGATTACCTGTCCAGAAGATGCTTTTCTTTTACCACAGCAAAGTTTAAGGAATCTTCAATGTATAAGGCAAGTAGTCTGAGTGTAAAACCCACAATGTGATGATCCGGGAGACCCTTTGCACCCCATTGATCCACTGCCCTCTCGATCCAGGCCAGAATCTTTGGTGACTTGAGGAATTTCGTGCAATCTGGAGAAAAAGAAGCGCCTGGTTATCAGTGCACAGTAATCTCAGACGGCAAATAGACCAGATAACACACCTTCAGCATTTCTGTTCTTTCCGGATAAGTGTGTAATTAGCATTTCTAAATAAACATCATTGTTGATACGAACTCCCGGCTCTAGGAAAACACTGAGCACCCTGTGGAGATGCTTCTCTTCACTTTCCTCGCGCTTTTCCTCACATTTACGACCACCGTTCATCGCTGCCGTGCTGTTCATCACACTAATTGCATCACAAATGACAGAAATACTCTCTTCTGGGACCCTATCACAGCAAAATCCACGCAAAATGCACGATAAATTTTATCTATGGCGAAATTGATGTTTTTTTTGTAGCCGATCGACAAAGCATTTGACAATCCCTGACTGACAGCATGTCGGCCAGTCGACTCATCGACTGCTGGTGGCGCCGCCGCGAGTGTTCGACGCGAGGCTGGACGTTTACAAAGACGAATTCTTCCGTGAAGAAAATCAAAAATTTCCCCCATTTCTACGATATTTTCCGTGAAAACGCGTTCATTAATGTGTGACGGGGTGACGAATGTGTTGTGATTGTGTGTGAAATAGCCAGAAATATGTCCTCCCTCTCTGCAAGTGCGGAAAATCTAACAGACACCCAGGTTGGTTTTCCCACCCACAACAACATCGCATTTCTTGTAATTTCACACTTTTCCATGTGAATTTTCCGGGAAATTATTGTGCAATGCTCATATGCAAGTGATCTGGGTGAAAGTTCATGGGTTTTTTATTCTGAGAATTGAAGGAATTGGGTGAAAAAGAGATTATCCTTTGAGGAATAATTTTCCTACACGATAAAGCCAAGCCAGGCACAATCTTAAGATTTCCAGCACTTCCGCCTCTTCGTCAAGACAGTGTTGAAAGTGCACGGAAAGAGGGAGAGGCTGAAGATGAGTCACCGTGAATCACATATCACTTGAACTGTGTGAATTCGTCATGGAATGACTCTAATTGCGTCCAATTAACGCCTTTCCAGACCAACGATGGCTCTTCCATGTGTCTCGAGCTGGCCCTCGAGGGCGAGAGGCTCTGCAAAAGTGGCGACTGCAGAGCAGGAGTCGCATTCTTCCAGGTAATGAGGCGTCTCTGGAGGCGCGGAAGACAGGAAATTGACGACATTCTTTGCATTGCAGGCTGCCATCCAGGCGGGAACTGATGATCTCCGGATTTTGAGTGCCATCTACAGCCAACTGGGCAACGCCTACTTCTACCTGGGCGACTACGCCAAAGCCATGGACTTCCACAAGCTGGACCTCACGCTGGCGCGCTCCATGAACGACAAGCTGGGCGAGGCCAAGTCATCGGGCAACCTGGGGAACACGCTGAAGGTGATGGGGCGCTTCGACGAGGCGGCCATCTGCTGCGAACGACACCTCACGCTAGCGCGGCAGCTGGGAGACCGCCTGAGTGAGAGCCGAGCGCTGTACAACCTCGGCAATGTGTATCATTCCAAGGGGAAGCACATGGGACAGCGCGATCCGGGCGACTTTTCCGATGACGTGAAGGAGGCCCTCATGAAGGCCGTGGGATACTATCAGTAAGTCCTCGCGAATGAAAGTGTGTGTGTAAAAGAGAGAGAGAGTCTGTTCACGGAAAAGTGACGAAGAGGCTGAAAATCACACACAATTAATTGCCCACACTTTTATTGGTCATGCTCATTAGGTCTCTAACAAATTCCTCTCATTGGAATCATAAACGGCGTTTTACTACTTCTCACACTCACAATTGACGCCACTGTTTGTTGAGACAAATGAACTTCCTCCGCAATGCTGGCAGAGAAGCAATTAGAATCACTCTGATTCATGAATTGCTTCTATGTTCGCATCTCCGAGTATGTCCTTTGACCCTTCATAGCGCACAATAAGAGAGCAGATGAACGCCTCCGGTGTGCAACTACATTTATAGCGACTTTCGCTGAGCGCTTGTTCGATTGGCATTGTTGGGGACAATTCACACGGGCAGAGTGGTGGTTGATTGTTCTTCAAATTACAATTGTCCTGTGCAAACAAGGAAAGTTTACTCTAATGTTTCCAATGGGAAATTTGTTTTTGTATGGGAATTCTAAATGGATGAATATCGGCATCGACAGAGTAGGAAAATTGAAGCCAAACATAGATGTATATTTACTCAACACGGTCCATTTTATAGCCCCCTTTTAGTCTAAATATACAGATGCGAATGCTTTTCGTTGGAGCTTTGGCTGTGTGATGCTGACCTGAAATCTGTTTAAACTTCGCGCAATTTATAGTGTTTGCTCAAGAAGAAGTGTCCAAAAAATGTTTGGTAAATTGAAATAGAGTGAAATTGAGCGGAAATCAAGTGATTGATTGGAATTTGTAGTGCATTTTGTGATATTATTCCAAGAAATCAATGGAAATTCATTGCAAATAAAGAGACAAATTAGTTAGATTTGCAACAGATTCAGTATAGACGTATTTTCTAAATTAATTCCTTAATGATGATAGATAAGGATATTTGAATACAGCGCACATACACAACATTTCAGCATTGTTCTTGTTGACAACATTAGAAAAGAAGGCTAAAGAGTGCCATGATCAGCTCGTGACGAGCATTGTGATTTACACGCACTCAAGTATTGACATTCTCTAGCCAAAAGAAACAATCCATTCGCCTCACTTCATCAGCAACTCGCGCAGAGTTGAGAAGCATTGAGGAGAAGTGTTTACATTCATCATTTTACTACTCTTTCCAGGCAAAACCTCGCCCTAATGCGTCAGATTGGGGATCGCGGGGCTCAAGGCCGAGCCTGTGGCAACCTGGGCAATACTTACTATCTCCTCGGAGACTTCCAAGCGGCAATCGTCCATCATCAGGAGCGACTCAGCATTGCGCGCGAGTTTGGCGACAAGGCGGCTGAGCGACGCGCCAACAGCAATCTGGGAAATTCTCATATCTTCCTCGGGCAGTTCGAATTGGCGGCGGAGAACTACAAGCGGACGCTGTCGCTGGCCATTGAGCTCGGCGAGCGGGCGGTGGAAGCTCAGGCGTGCTACAGCCTGGGCAACACCTACACGCTGCTGAAGGACTTCTCGCTCGCCATCGAATACCACCAGAGGCATTTGGCCATCGCCCAGGAGCTGGGCGACAAGGTGGGCGAGGCCAGAGCCTGCTGGAGCCTCGGGAATGCGTACTCAGCCATCGGTAACTACGAGAAAGCCCTCCACTACGCCCAGTCGCACTACAGTTTAGCCACAGAAGTAAGTTCTTTTCGTAGCTGTGCCTTTTCGTCTTTCACTTGAAAGTTCGCAACTATGAATGTCACACGCTTTGTATCTTCCTGGTAATCAGTTGAAATATTGCTCGGGCTGTTTTCAATTGTATTTTTATCCACAAAAGAGTTGTCCAGAATATTGATGACTAAAATGTGCGACAGTGTTTTATGAGAAGCAACACGTGGTCACGGAAATTCAAGTGAAGATTGTGTCCAACACTTTCCTTTATGGGTGTCTTTGAGGCCCAAACGTACAATCACAATCATGCGAGCGTTGCTATGCATTGCCAAATACAAATTTGTTGGACGTGATATGAAAGACAAGCGATACTCGATCAGAAGATATAGTGATTAATTTTGGACATTTTTGTGTGTGTTTGCAGCTCGGCGATCCTGTTGGTGAATCCACGGCTCGCATGAATATCACGGACTTGCGGAAGGTTCTGGGATTGCCTGAAATCACACCCACAGACTTTGATGCCATGTCATCGGACAGCCAGCGGTCCAAGTCGTCGCCCGAGGAGCAAGAGACTGCACAGACGGTGCGCCAATATCGGGTACGAAGGCAAAGCATGGAACAATTGGATTTGCTTAAGGTTTTATTTTGTTTTTCTTATTATTTCACCCATTTTGTGTGCACTCTTATTGATGGTTTTGGGGCGAATTGAGGGAAAATTTACTGATATTCCTTGTTCTGCTTCAGCTGACGCCGGACGGGAAGAAAGTGGAGCATCACACGAAGAGCGAGAGTGGTACAATTATGCAGGAGGACGACTTCTTCGATCTCCTGACGAACTCGCAGAGCAAGAGGATGGACGATCAGCGGTGCACGTTGAAGGTGGCCGGCGGATCTGTGTCGGTTGTGGAGGGCGCGATGCGGAAGCCGCTGACAGCGCAGAACAGAAACCCACCGCAGACGAAGGACAACAGGAATGCGCTGCTGGAGATGATCGCGGATCTGCAGTCGGAGCGAATGGACGAGCAGCGAGCGACGTTGCCTGGACTGGTGAATCGCGCTGGGCTGGCGCTGAAGCCGCCGCCGGGTGCGACGGGTGTGGCGCCGGATGACGCGTTCCTGGACATGCTGATGCGGTGCCAGGGCTCGCGACTGGAAGAGCAGCGGTCGGAGCTGCCGCGGCCGGGCGATATTCTGGAGGACAGCGAGGAGGGCACTCGCAGGGGCCGGTCAAACATTGGCGCCACCGTACCTGATGAGGACTTTTTCTCGCTGATCTCGCGCGTCCAGGGCGGACGGATGGAGGATCAGCGCGCCGCTGTGCCACTGGGAGTGTCCAGGCGTCTCGCGATGCCCAACAACGTCCACGTTCAGCCACCAAATGCCACCACCAAGGAGCCTGGCAAGAAGAATTGAATCACTTACCATTTATTGTCCCTCCCTAGCGCTTAGATTTTATCTTCCTCGAGTGTGATCAGAAGCACACACTCAATATCACCTCGAGATTGTGAACTCAAGATTTCTTTTTAGTATAGTGACGAAAAGTGAGAGAAAAGAGAGAAAATACTTACTTCACTTACTTATTTACCAAGTGAAAACTGATCCAATACAGAAGAAACGTTTTAATTTAAAATGCATTTATAGCCAAAATACGATTTTTTTTTCTCTCATTTAGCGAATGAACAAATCTTTTTTATCATGAATTTTCCCTTTTTATATACTTTTTACTCTTAAACAAATGATATTTTACAAATGATTTTACTCCTCAATAGAAAACATAGTAGAGACAGAAGCTCTCAAAAAGCCAAAGGATAGAGAATTTTGTCAGAAACTATATTTCTCCGGTGATTGCATGACGGGGAAATGTTCAGAAACCTTTTATTCCTTGTGAATAAAGAATTTTTAAAGTGTTGACTTTATGCAGAGTCTCTGAGGATTGTCTGTTTTATCTGAAATTTCACTTTTAAGACAAATAAAAAAGCTATAAATTTTATCTACAAAGTTAAAGAGATTTTCCTTCCTCCGACGTTGTGGTTTTCATTCATCAGAACAGTATAAATTGCTTAGTCCTAATTAGTCAAGGTGCACACCACTCAGTGTGTTGTCTTGGCTGAGAATGACTGTGCGCCATCTGTTATCTACCCTCGAACTGTGAATGCTAGGTCAACAAAATCACAACTCAACATCGTTTGAATTCCTATTTAATTTTCCATGTAAAACAAATTCATAGATATTCGTCAATTCTTTATCTAGAACTCTTATACTCCTCATACTCAACTTGCATCCGCATGCGGTTGCATTGCCTTTAAGGTGTATTCCACAAAGTTTAAGTCCTTCATGTACTCTGTGACTCTCCTCAGATGGCGATCCGTGTAAGGCAAGAGTGTCTCCACAATTCTGAATGCACCACTTGGTCTGAAGCTGCCTGCGAGCATATCCTTCAGCAGGATGTTGATGACTAACTGAGCTGCGCGGCAGTTTTTGCTGTTTGTGTTCCACTTGGCGGCGTGATTTAAGAGAGTCTCCTTGTCCATCTCATTCAGCCCACTAATCGTCTCCTCGACGCCTTCCTCCTGCACTTCCACGATGCTCTTCACAATTTTCAGCGTCATTTGCGGCTTCTCCAGCCGAATGGCCACTCTGAGGGCTTTTAGGTACTTCTTCTGGTGCAGCAGATTGTTCAGTTCCTGCTCCTGCAGAACTGTCTCCTGCACCTTCTTCTTCTCCTCCGTCTTCTTCTCTTCCGTCACGTCGCGCCACTGAATCAGCCTCGAATCTGATCCTCCACTGAAGAAGAACTTCTCGCTTGCCGGCAGCGCCACAGTCCACACTCTGCCCTCGTGACGCTCCAGCGTCGTCACACACTCACTAGTCTTGATGCTCCACAGCTTCAGGAGTCCATCGGCGGCCGTCGAGAGAATTTGCATTCCACGAGAGATGAATTCCACCCTCAGGACCGACGATTCGTGTCCCTCCAGACTCTTCAGGCACGACAGCGAGTTCACTGCCCAAATGCGAATGCTTCCGTCGGCCGAACTGGTCAGAATCACCTGATCCACGGGCGAGAATCGCACACACCAAACTCCTCTCTTGTGTCCCTTCAGCACTCCCACGAGAGACAAATCGCTGGCGTTCCAGATCTTCGCCGTCTTGTCCTGCGAAGCGGTCGCTAGGAGTTTGTCATTGGGCGCCACAGACACTGAATTGATCTCCTTGTCGTGGACAATTTGGGTGGCTGAACAGACAAGAGGCGCAGCTTCTGAGCTTTCCTTAGGAATCGTCCACAGCTTCAGGCACAGATCCTGACTCACGGAAGCGAAGAAAGACGTTCCCGATCGACTCATGGCGATTGAACTGACTGAAGACGTGTGTTTGCTGCCCACACCAATGCAAGTCACCTCGAAGCAGTCTGGCTTCAAGCTCCACAGCCTCACGCTTGAATCTTTACTCGCAGAGGCAAACAGCTTTCCTCTTCCTGTTAATCAACACAAGATCCAATTATTTTAAGAGAAATGTATGGAAATAATTAAATGCTCACCTGACAGAGCCATCACAATGTCGGTGTGTCCTTTCAGCACCTGGCAATTCATAGTCGTCGTATCGTAGAACTTGATATCCTGGCTATTTGTAGCCACTGCCAAGTATCTGTCCTTCTTCCCCACGAAAGCCATGTCCAGGATCTCATCGCTGAAGCCGATGAGCTGTTTGGCACAGTGAAAAGTGCCGATATTGTGGATTAGAATGTTATGATCTGCGGTCGCGACGCCGATTTGTTGGGATTTCGGGCTCCACACCAGTTGAGTTATTGCCAAACCGCCTTCCTCTTCGGACTTGGAGACCAAGCTGTTGGTCTGCGTAAAGATGAGCTTCGCCTTTGTCATCTCCCACACTTTTATCACGCCCGATTCGCCGCCCACAGCCACATGGATGCCCTCCGATGGCACAAGCAGACCTCCGGGCAGATTAATGCCATTCGGGAGGATGATTGCGCTCTCCAGAGTCTCGTAAACGGGAATTACTTTTATGCTCTTCTTCTGTTTCAGATCCCACAGAATCAGGACCTTATCTCTGCTTGTGGACACCAGAAATTCCTCATTATCCGTGAGCGAGAGTGAAGTCACTCGGCTGTAGTGGCCTTCCAGGGACGCAATGACTTGCCTGGTCTTGTAGTCCCAACCCAGAATCCGATTGTCATCGCCAACGGCGTAAATGCAAGACCCTGATTTCGTGAAGGTCACAAGGCCGATGACGCCCTGACATCCGCGAAGATTCGCCAGGCAGATCTTCTTGGTGTAATCCCAGATTCTCACGGAAGCGTCGCATCCTCCGCTGGCAACCAGCTCAGTGGTGGGATGAAAGGTCACTCTGGAGATCGGGCCATTGTGAATTCCCTTCCACATTCTAACCTGGGCGCAGGATTTGCCGTCCCAGAGCTTCAGGAGGCCACTTTTGTGTGCCGTCAGAACAGATTCGCCGCTGGAACTCACGGCGAACGTGTAGATCACATCTTCGCCCTCGACATCGGCTCCTCCGTGAATCGAGCGATCCACTTTGCCACTCTCCACATTCACGAAGTTGATCTTCTCAGCGTCCTGGCAAACTATTTCTTCTCCTGCCCATGCCAGAAAGCCGGACTTGTAGAAAGCCTCGTACTCATTCTCCACCTCAAATCTGCAAAACAGCACAAAATTGTAAGGCAACTTGATAAGAAATGATCGTCTGGATGAACTTACGATTCCTTTGCATGGCTTTTCGACATCTTTGATGGATTTTCACAGCATTTTCCGCAAGAAAACAACAAGTTAGGAACCACGCGCTCTCATAACACTTGACACACCGGAGGGTTTATTAATCCAGAAAAATGTGCCGTTTGTGTTTTCATTTTGGAGGTTAAGTTGTGGTGTGCAAGATGCTGCTCAGGATTTCCTTGAATTCTTGTAAAATACTGCGTAACACGCTATCTATTAGGAGCTTTGCCACCGCTCATGTACTCAGGAATTGCTCAAAAGTCTCAAGATCTGAAAATATCCCTGAAACTTCTCACGAATGGAGACCAATTTACAAGTATCCACCAATTCGGCTCTTTTCCGTAGCAGGAAAGATAAAAGTCTACCAGGGAATCCTCACGGTACTTATCGCTCCTCTCTCCTGGGCGGCTGAAAGCAGTTCGATCCTTCCACAAGGAACTTTCAACACTGTAACAATAATAGGTAAAGAGTGCAGAGTTTTCGAAGTGTTTCTCCGCCTAAACTGATCTTTGACTTCCAGGCGTGACCGGCTTTCTTGCACTGTCCATATATAGTTTGCTGCTAAAGAATTTAGTGGGATTCATTTATCTGGATAGCACTGAGCAGAAGATAAAGCTGGCGTACGTCGGTTTCCTCGGACAACGCAAAGAAGTGGAATACTTGGTGAAGGATGTGATCAGAGCCGATGATCTGCCGCCTACGAAGATCAAATTCTTCTACCCACTGGCGTTCCACGGTTCCAAGGAGAAGTATATAGTGTTTTACAAGGGAGGAGCCTTCGAGGATATAGAAAAGTTTGGCAGCATCTTCGGCTATGACTTAGTTTAGGCCCACTAAATAGAACAGACTATTTAATACATCTTCTGGTCATTTAGCTCCATCTGTAGTGGGCGTATGCTCTGTTTGCCTCGCACTGCCTGTGCAGATCCTGCTTCCTCTTGATTACGCGTCCCTGGTATGAAGCGGCGTCTAGCAATTCCCACGCCAGTTTCTCCGGAAGATGAACGCGGCGCTCTTTATCCTTCGCCGCCTCGAGGATCCACTTCATCGACAGGAAGTATGAGCGATTGTCGGTGACGGGCACAGGCACTTGATACCACTGCCCACCTCTCTTGATGGGCGTCAGCTGGAGCAGCGGACGACAATTTTCCACGGCATCGTAGAAGATATCCACGGGATTCGTCTTGATTTTATCCTTCTCCTCAGCTGTAGCAAGATTATATCGCTCCAATTGGATTCTCTTGATGTTCTCGAAGCACTTGAACAGCAGATCTCTGGCCAATTCCTTCCGTCCGCCCTTCATGATGTAGTTCGTGAACTTCCGGACACGATCGTCGAAGAACACGGAAGAAGTTTCATTATTTCGGGCCGCTTTCACGCGAACATGAACCAGTTTTTCAGCCTCTCCAGTCTCCTTGAGAACCGCTTGCTGGTCCTTGCGAAACACGGGCTCCACAAAGTGTGGATTGTACATGGACATGGCCCGGCAGAGGAACGGAGACACCGGACCCCTGAAAAAGTGAGGTTGAATTACAAAAATCGCTAGATTTGACACTCAGCTGACTTACCTTACAACACTTGCTAGTGATTTATACATTGTGGACATCCTGTATCTGATTTTTACTTCAATTATCCGATTACATTTGATATTTTGTGTGTAAATGCGGTTTTATAAAAGGGAAAACAACACTCTGACTTCTTCCTTCCTTCACTCACATTTCAGCCTGAGCAATGTCCACCGACAGAGGGCACTTCGGCGAGCTGGTATTTAGCCGGAATGTATGCAAAACTCACACTTTGAAATTAACAGATGAACTCAGGAACAATAGAGCACGAAAGAGCTGAAAGAAGGGCGCAAAGTAATTGAAAAGTCACTTAATTTAGCATAAATAACCAGAGAAGTGGTCATATATCATGGCGGAGGACCTTTCCACCTCCACCCATGTCGAGTGAACAAAGTGGGAAATTGAAACTGCCAGTGTGCAGATTGTTTACAAACAATCCAATATCGCCCCATTCATATTTTGCATTATTTATTGGATGCAATAAATTTGTATTCTCGCGAGCATAGCGCGATATGCAATCGATTGAGCTGAAAGATTTAAAGCTGATTTCATTCGCAATATTGGTTTTTCTCTCTGTGTGGCTCTCGCGCCGTCTCAATTCTCAATTTTGTGGATATTTTACACCTTTTTCGTTCGTTTTAGCGTCGTTTTCAACTGTGTGTTGACGTTATTGATTGTTTTTGCAATTTTTCACCTGACCTGTACACTGTAAAATGGTTTTATGAATACGGTGTATTAAAAAATTATGACTCTTTCTAAAAAGCTTCTCAACTATTCTGGGGATTATTAAAATTCATTCGGAGATTTTTACTATAAGAAAAAGTCCATCCGCACTATCAAAGTACCACCTTTTCCAGCTGTGTTGGGAAATATAAATTACATTGGCCTAGAAGTCATTTATCTTGGGCCACGAGGGCTCTCGATGGAGTATTGGATTGAAAATTGAGGTGTTATATATTTATGTGGTGCAATAAATCCACTGTCAATTCGCGAATGTGTTGGAGATCTTCCCATTTCGCGGGCGATTTTTTCCTCGTCCTCCTGGCCACACGACGAGCCGGACATAAATCTCTTCAGCGCTCAGCATCGCTGGTAGTTGGAGGGTAGAGTCATGAAGTGTGATTTGTGGCATATTTACATCAATTTCTTCTCTGTTGCACCTCCACAAATTGCTGCGAATTGCCAATATTTTTCACCAGCTAAACACGCGGGGGTGTGTGAATCTTCTTGACGGCCTTTTTGCACCGATGACGCCAAATATTTATAGCAGGTATGAATATTTGTTTGCTCAGCATTTCCTGCATCTCGCGCGTGTTAAACACTTCTTAAGATGACGTAGAAAAGAGCAGTTTATCCACTCAGATCTTCTGAATGATAAAATGCATTAGAAAGTGAATATGATCTTTGTCTCTTTGGGTTTCTGATGGATAGTCCTTTATTCTTTATTGAGTCTGTGTAATTCAATTTCTGTAAAGTTTATCATGCGAGGAAGCTCGATAAAGGTTGAATTTTCTGCGCTGTCTTTTCTCAAGTAGTTTCTTGGTTTTTCTGTGAGGGCAAAACCGTTGCTGAAATACGTAGAGAGAGTGTGCCTGCAGCAGTGGCGGCCGGGGAATTCAGTGCTTGACTCTGAGAGACTCGGAGTCTCTTCCAGCAGCCAGTCGCGGAGGCAGCGGAATCGTGGCCACGCAGGGCGGAAGATGCGGAGCGATACGCAGTGGCAATAAATTTCCTCAGTGGTCTTCTCTTTCGCGCGACCGCAGCAAAAATTGGAACCCGGTTTTTCGGTCCTCTAAAATGGTCACCAACAATGCCAACAGGAATTGTCCAACTTCTTTGCGGGCTACTTTTTGTGGCGCGGACCGCGCATCTCCCGCACTCACCGTTGTCCTCGCCAATGGCGGAGGCTTCTGCTCCGGCTGCGTTCGACCGTTGAGAAAAGTCCGGGGAAAGAAATTTGTTAATTGGATCCGAATTCCTAATAAAAATTCCGCTGATCGACCAAATCGATGTTTGTCTCTGGGATGTTCTTTTTCCCTCGCTCTGTACTTTCCTCGCCATCGCTTTTATTATTCGTTCATCCTTTTATTGTGTCACTTGTTCTGGCGAAGGGCATTCTTTTTTCGGCCCGCAGACGATATTCTTAGGCTGAGATGAAAAAAAAAAAGAGAAGACGGAAAGCAAGACAGCAGGTTTATCCCATCTTTTAATCCTTTGTCCACTTCTTGCAATTCTCTCACGAAATTTCCATTGCCTTTTGGTCAAATCATAAAATGCACACAACGAATTTCGCTAAAAGCTTAATCCGGTGCACTTTTAATTCTTCTTCCTTTTTTCCGTCAGCATTTCATTTTGAAAGCCAGCTCGAAAGTCAATTTGCAAACAGAGAAGAAAATGATGCATACATGAAACAATTTATTTAGATTGTCGATTGCCGAGCAATTGAGGAAATGATTAAATATTCCGTGAGATTGTACGACTTTTGGAAGAGGAAAGATAAATTTTTATGGATTTCCAATCGTTATCCTCATCAGTATTTACAAACTGCATCGTCTTCATTTTCACTTGTATGATTTTTTTTCTGCAACGCAAAAACCTTGTGCATGAACATTTTGGCATTTTGAGATTTCTCCACGCAGATGAATTATTCAGGAATCATTTAACAAAACGACATTTTATAAATAAATCATTCACGCTGAGAAACCAAACTAACCAGAACCGGAAATATGGAGGAAAGAATTGCGCGAGTAATTTCTGCAAATATCATATTTCCTGTGGGCACAGGAGCTGGAAAATTTGCGAAACGCCAATGAATTCATTAATAAATTATATTTGATCACAATATATGCATGAAATCTACAAATATTATCTCTTTGCAGTGTGTAAAATACGCCCTGACTAATTATGGCATTTTCAGTAGAGTTCGGCAAAAGTCATTTGGTGCATTTCGTCGAGGACGTGGGACGAGGCCGTGGGCGGGTTTCCCTCCCCGTTGCCACCCTGTCCACTACCCGGGATCGTGAGACCCGTCATTGTGGCAGTCGACTTGCCAGAGCCCTGAATTTGGGGCTGTGCTTCCTGCCTCATGAGATTCCTGCGCCACTTGGCGCGCGCATTTTGGAACCAGACCTGCAAATTGACACACACACAGCGAGTCAGTGGCTAAAATCTCACGTGAAACTCATGAATCTCGTCAGCATGGGGAAAAAAGTGAGGCGATGCAGAAAAGAAGCCTCCAAAAAATGGGAGAAAGATGCAAAAGGAGAGACAATTTACTTGCAAAACACGTTTGGAGAGTCCAGTTTTCTGGGCCAATTGCTTCAAGTCTTTGGCATCCGGATTCTGATTGATTGCAAAATAAGATTTCATTGTTCGCAATTGGTGGTGTTTAAAGGAAGTTCGCATACGTTTCGTCCGCGTCTGCGGCGTGAGACAGCCACCGGAGCCAGGTGAGTGACTGCTGCCGTCGTAGGAGAGATCCAGCGATCCGCTCTGAATGTCCGATGAGATTAGCTCTGCCAGGACAAAAAGGAAACAGTTACATTTTCAAACATTTTCATAAACACGTCAATGAGAGTGCGAGAACAGCTCCTGGTGATGGGTAAAAAGTGAAAAATTCCCACGACAAACAAAAAAGACTATCGTATCTATGAGGGTTCATCTCTAGTGGTTCAGGCATGAGAGGTAAATCAATAAAAAATAGCATAAGAGTCTGCACATCACGTTATCTCTTGTATCTCATGAAGGAAAAGTCACGTAATCAAATTCACACGGCGCCAGGATTGAAAGGCGAGAGATCCTGCGATAAGTGACTGAAGATGTTTATATGTTCATCAGAAAAAAGTGCGTGTAAAACACTTCCTACCCTCATATGTATATGTGGAATAAAAAATTAATTTCCCCTCATGTTTCTTTTTGTATTTCAAACAGAATAGTTCGATTAAATCATATGAAAATGAAATGGAAAATTCTTTAGCTAGAGTAAGAAAGGCACAATTCAATTGCTTTTCACTCACCTAATCTCAAAGAAGTTTGCTGCTCAATGCCATCCTGTGGCGCCTCTTGGGGCTGTACCGATGGTGGCTTCCTCTTCCGTGGCCTGCCCTTCTGCGGGCTGCTGCAGTAGAATTGGGGCGATGGTGTGAGATTGAGTTCGTTACTAAAAAGATGATGGATCCATCATGAGACTCTTGACCTGAAACTCCCCTCGAGGGCCAAGGCGAGATCCCACAAGTGTTACCTCTCGAGCTGGAGGATGTCGGCGTCATAGTGCTCCCCACAGAAAACTCTTCCTCCGCGAATGGCGGCTGTGTCTCCGGCACTCAGCGGTGCACCGCAAAGTGTGCAGGAGAAGCAGGTGACGTGAAAGACCATCTCTCTGGCTCGCATCACCAGTTCGGATGAGCTGAGGCCATCGCCACATTTGGCACAGCGTGTCGTTGAGAATATCCTAGGGAGAGAGTCAATTTGTAATCAGTACGAGTTCTCTTCGGGCCATGCGTCGAGGAAATTGATAGTTTTTCTCGCAGTTGGATGGGCATCTCGCGGTGAAGTCAAAGGCGAGCACGACTCCGAGGATGCAAGCAAACACAATGCTCTAAAGATGGTGTGCAGCCATTAAGAAGCAGTTTGTATAATGTACTTTTGAAGCAACAGAAAAACATATCAAATACAATAGTTGACAGTATCAAGGCTCAAAGTAGACTTTGAATTTTTTATGAACCGTAGGAGATACTCTTACCTACACTACTAAATGCAATTGTATGTATGTGGCAAGATTTTGAAAAAATTCCCCATTACGATCAATCAACACTTTATATATATATATATATGGCTATGTATGTAGAGAAGTTTGCCCGCTAAAGCAAGTCTTCATTAAAGGTGTTGTTTACAAATTCTATTGCATGCTCATTTCACTTTTCGAGCAATTGTGTTCGCCTATAGAACTTTCAGTCTCACCTCGCACGAGAAAATTCTCAATCATCCCATATAAGGTGGCAGTGAAAACGAGCCTTCTGTTGGATAAGAGGAGCTTTTTCGATTTCTGCCTCTCTTGAAAAGGTAATTCAGTGCTACCATGAGTTCTTTGCATTCGCCGCAATGCTTTATCTCTCACCTTAAGCGGAAAATCTCTGGTGGAGACTCAAGTGAGACAGAAAGTGTCAGGAGAATGGAGTAAAATCAATTTTGATTTCTTGCACCATCGCACTAGAGATACAATGGTGACTCTGCATTTGGGATGCCTCTTTGTACGATTGCGCCGCGCACACATTTCTACCATTGGCACGACGATATATAAAAAAACGTCCCCCCAGCAAAGGACGCCAACTGGGAAGCTCTATTGATTTTCCGATTCACCGCATGAAAATACGCAGGAACAATGATGGAAAGTTTCGAGACAACAGGGAAAAAAGACATAAAAGAGATGTCGAATGTTGGAGGGTGGAGCGAAGCCCTCTCGATGGCATTTGATGGAAGGTGTTCCGATGAAAGATAAATATTGATGGAAATATCATAAGCGACGAGGAAAGGTAAATAAGCGCGTGGGAAGGTGCTCAAGTGCCTCGGACAGCCCCATTGTCCCCGGAGGAAGTGTGAAAACAGTGACCACGAGAGCGCCTTAATTGCGCCAGGGCCGAACTATTTTGCACCTGTACCCGAACCCAAGTGGTTCAATGACTCACCGACAGTAGTCCTCTTTGCAGTAGATGTTGCCGCCGCGACAGAAGCAGCTCAGCTCCGTGTCGAGGGGCTGCGAACAGCGACAGCATCTCAGGCACTGTCCATGCCAGGCACGATCTGCCGCCAGAAGGTAGAATCTACATTGTGCGGACAATATAATGAGACTCGTGATTCCCCTTCCTGGTGGGAGGCAAAAAACTGCTCAATTCTCACCTGTCCTTGATGGATAATCCGCAGCCGGCACAAGTGTTTTCCGCCGAGGCGGACTCTGGCGACACGAGATCCTTCAGCATTGTGCTCCTTGCCAAGAGAGCCCAATCGGTTTTTAATGACTTTTCCCACCTCTTTAGCGATGTTAGGTAATTAAATTAAATTAAACGCTGATGGCATCACTTTGCGTAAGGACTCGCATATTGATTAATTGCACTCTCTTGGCCTCTTCACCCTTTTGCCAGGTCGCAACATGAAAAATGTCTTACAAAATCATCGTTTTTTATACCCTCACTCAAGTCGATGCACTTTTTCCGGTAATTAGCCAGAACTGATGATAAATTACGTGTAAGAAATTGGGATATGACCTCTAAAGAAGTATGTCGTTATTCTTGGGTGTATCGCGAATTAAAGTGAAATAAATGAGGATTATTCATGTGCACATAACATGTATACTATGTATATGACAGAGTTAATTGAAAAAGCTTCATTATCAGAATTTAAAATTCTAATACGGCAATATTCTTTAAAATTATACATAAACTGCTCAAGTTGATGTCAAAAAGTTAATAGGTGCGATTTCAAACGGTTACAGAACATCTGTTTCTGTCGCTGACTACCTAATTGAGTCTTTTATGCCTCCTGTCACTAATCTTTTGATAGAGTGGCAATCTGTAGCATGGTGTAATTAATTAATTACACAATTTATTTAATTACCACCGAAATGCATTGGCCATGCGGAAACTTTGCAGTGTTATCTTATGGTGCATTTCGCGAGGGGAACAATCTTAAGGGGCGAATCATTGAGGAATTGCGTGAATAACCGCAATATTCGCACATTAAGGTGTTTCACCAAATAATTAAAAAATGATGCGTCTCATTCTTAACCTCGGTTAAGAGTGGACAAACTGTGGGGTGAAGTTGCACTGTTGCCTCGAGAAGGCCAAAGAGTAATGTTGGCTGAAGGAAACAGAGTCACTGCAATTTGTTCCATTCAAATTACCATTTTCACGGGTCACGTCTTGTCTCGGGCTTTTAATTGTAGTGCATCGAATTAAATTTTAACACACACCACACTCCTTTTCGCGGATTAATGATCAAACAAGCAATTAATTAAATTACACATCATTCACAAAATTGCGCCATGGGCGGTTATTGTGGTTTCGCGACTTTCATTCGCACGTCATCGCTTGATGCACTCTCCAGAGGATGGTTTCCGGGGTCTCCTGATGTGGCTGCAGGAGCCCCGATCAGGACACTGATCGGGGACACTGAGCATCGGCGTGATCCGCGGAACGGAAGCTCTCTCTCGTGGATTACTCCGCCGTGAGAGAGTCTAATTGGATGTGTGCCGTGTCATAAATCAAATGAAAGGCTACACAGCAGCTTTTTCTCCTCTCTGCCCCAGCATCCAATGGTGGCGTCTCGCGAGAACGCGTGAGATTGGCAATTACGGCGTGGTCAGTGCTAAACACTTCTCAGGAGGTGATGACAACACGCTGGCACAGAGCGATGGATGCATTCAGAACGGAGGTAAGAATTCGACTATTTCGTGAAAAATTCTCAATATCCTCCTCTCCTTCGCGTTTTCACCCGTGATTGTGTGTTGCCCCACGAACTGTGTGACTGTGTTGAGATTTTTTGCCGCCTTCCGTCTATATATTTTTTCCCTCCTCTCATGGCACCCCTATTGAGTCCTCCTTGTCTCTATCCCTCCGATATTTTTATTTGTTTTTCCTGTCGGTCCGTTTTTTACCCGCTCGCCGCACACTCGAGATTATCAGCGGAGGCGAGAGAGATGATGACTACCGAGACGACTCCATGGAACACCACACGTTTTGACGCGATGAAAAAGCGCGAATCCAGCAAGCTTCTGCCACTCATCACTGCATGTCATCAAACAGAACTCACTGCTGTGTTGGTGAGATTTCCCTCCAGGAGAGAGACAGAGAGGGACATGTCGGAAAATTCAGAGGGAAACATCAACTGACACCGAGCATATCAACATCTCGCTTTCGCATACGAAGTAGGGAAAACCTTTTTTCAGCGAGGGGATGAATTCGTGCTCAGCAAAAGATTCTCAGTGCCAAAGAAGGGTAACTTTGCTTCACAGAGCCCGCCTTTGTTCGGGTGGGAGGGTCACGCCACCCTAAAAGATGCGAGAAAAAGTTTTCAGGGCAGAAAACTCGGCTGAGGAAAACTTTTTTTTAATCACAAAATAACGACGTATTTACAATTGTTTTGTACTTTCAAGATGAATCAACTTTTCTGCTGCTACACAAACAAGAAATTACAGGAAGAATTGAAAAAAAAAATTCCATTTTTCTGAGTAATTTACAAATTTGTCGACTCAGAACTTCTACACTATGCATTAATAATTTAAAGCCATAAATAATGAAGCAGTACTGAATTCATACCATTCTAAATTTACCATATTTCATAAACATTTGCTTATTATTCCACATTCACATAGCGTATTTTAAAAAACATTATTAGAATAATCTCTTATTCTAAGCTATTTAAATACTCAGTGTTACCGTAATTCTTCATGATACTGTATCATCCCCTTCTTATCTTGTGCACCAGGAATGTCTTTAAGTGGTTCGTACTATAAAAAGTTTTCACCAGCAACATTTTAAATTATCAGCAAAATTAGCATTGCAACTTGCTCTTGAACATGCTCCTTTACTCAATTTCATCTTCCATTCGCTTTGTGCTACCTATCTAGTAAACGGTGAAGAAGTAAAATATTTTCGTATGGCAATTAATTTAAAGTATTTCGTGTAGATTAAATAGTGGGTAGAGGAGGAAAAAGAATAAAAGTTCAGAAATACACACATTCTTCATTTTTCGTACAGCAATTTGCCACATTTGCCACATGAACGCGTACGTTATTTCATTAATATAGAATTATTCAAATTTCGTATTAAAATATAAAAATTATCTCTCACTGCTTGCTCTCTCGCTCTCTCCATGGTTGGGGGAAAGAAGGAACCAGTATTAAAATTTGATTACACAATAATTTTATACTGCGAAAATGACTACATCTTGCTAATGAGATTTTCAACGAACTTTTTATACATACGGAAATTGTAATTAAAATTTCTGTTATGACTCAAGTAACTCTCCGCTGAAATACAGCCCAGGACCTGCATCTAAAACGTGTGGAGGGTGTGCTGCGCATAAGTGTGCCAAATATGATGAGGTGAAAGCAATTTTCCGCCTCTTCTGATAATAAAAATCAAGATATCAATTACATATGGCATGTGCATGGCATAATTGACGCAATTAGAACATAATAAGTGTAATACTGTAACCGATTTAATCGAGTGATTTATCTCGTATCGATTGAATTTTCCTGATAAAATCGATGGTATGGCATCAATATGTTAATTTATGATCTCATGGCTCTTTTTGTATACCTGTGCACTCGTTTTTTATGCTCTCCACACCTTCCTCTCTAGCGCCAAAGAAACTCTACGAAACATCGCAAGTGTGGCTTCAAGTGAAAAACCGGTAATTACTTAATAAACTATTTCCGGTTGCGTGTTGACATAGTGGCTGACTGACTTTAGTGTTCACTCGGCGATTTTTCCGTAGGTTCTGTCTTCTATATATAGAGAACTATGTATGTAGAGGCCGAGCAAGAACATCATGCTTGAGTTTTTGCACTCTAGCTTAAATTCTTTGTCGCGAAAAGAAGAATTTATATTGATTCCTCGCCATGTTTTTGCCACCCTATATCTTTCGCACCGAGATGTAAGAAGGAGACAAGGACCCTTGGTAGAAGGGTATTTTCTTCATGTTAATTCTACCCCTTTGTGCTACGCGCGGAGGGGTTCTTCCTCTCTCGCTCTAGAACACTTTGCCGTCGATGTAATTTGTTTGTATTCAAACACAATGCGACGAGTGAGAGCGAGAGAGAAACCCTCCCTTTGACTGCCATTGGTGTGTCGTTCGACCAATTTCGATTTCTGTGAAATGCTCCGAAGGCTCTCTCTGCATCGAAAGAGGCGGGAAGCTGCGCGCTCTCGCTCTCCATAACGCGGCACTCACACACCTTCATTCAGGAATCATTCCTCATCTGAATGATGCCATGCAGTAGTCGTTACTGATTTATCTCTTGTTTTCCATCTTCATCACTCGAGGTATGGTTTAGCATAAATGTCTAGAAAATCTCTTATTTTCAGCGCTAAAATAAGGAGTTTAAGTTGAGGCAATAGATTTTACACCTTACTATTGTTCATATCCGAAAGTCTGTAGAAAAATTGGTCAAGTTCATGCTTTAATATGAAATAAATATGTACACACAAGGGTACATATGTATGTACACTTTGCTTTTACACAATTTAGACAGACTAGCATTAAGCATTGAAATGGTCACAAGACGAAATCAAAGTTCATGATCAGTGACGTAATGGCGTATCGTCGTGATTAAAGGGAATTAAGAGAGGTACAAGAGCAGCAAAAGAAATTACTATCGAGGAGAAGATATAAAATGAAGTTAACAAGTTAAATGTGTAATTAATTGTGACTTTCTTATTCAACTTTTGTAACACACAACATGTTCTTATTCGTTTTGTGCAATTTATAATTCAATTTCACGCGCATTTTGTAAACAAGGCGCCAGAGTGTGTGTACCTCCGTGGAATGGCTCAAAAGTGGGGAGCACACCTGATGGATTTAAATAATTTTCTATAAAGATTCAAGATCGACAATTAAAAGGCAATTAGTGAGCTGAGTGCGAGCAGAAACCCCTCAAGATGTGCGTAATTCATACGAGATTATGCCACTCAAGATGGTAGGCAAGAATGTCGTTTAGTGAATTTATGTATTGCGTTATAATTAGCATGAGCATAATGATTAGTCCATGTTTAATGTAGTGCTAATTCTCATGTTAATTTTTATCCCCTCATTAAAAAACTATGATCGCATTGCTACTTTTGCTAACTGAACAAGCCATCTTCCCAGTTTACACCACTGTCAGGTATTCCGATGACTTTTATATTCGCTGCTTGGAGTCTCGGCTCAGTAGGGATTACCAGGAAAAGAGCACAGACTTAAATAATTAAAATTTTATTCAGTTTTACATAATATTTGCGCTCAATTTCATGTGGTATCTTTTATTTCGTCTGTCAAAGATTTATTATTTGGCGAAAAGGCAACCGAAGCCAAAAGAGCGTGAAAGACCAGAAAAAGAGGAAATGACAGAGACGCGATCGTTCAATTTTTTTCTTAAACTAA